GGATTAGGGTTTTTTCGGGGGTGCAATCATTCAGTGACCTCATCCCGCCCTCCTCCCGCGGGCTCGGTGCAAAGCGCCTTCTTTGATGGCGCGCAACACGCCCCCCTCCTTCCCCTTGGTCCTAGCGCCCGGCGGGTTTGGCCTGGGCTGGTGTGTGTGTGTGTGTGTGTGTGTGTGTGTGTGTGTGTGTGTGTGTGTGTGTGTTGGGGGGGGGGGAGCGATCTGCTTGTGAGTACCGGCACGTCTGCCTGGTCTCCAGACCCCGTCCTCCCGCCCTCAGCTCTGGCCAACCCTCCCCACGACCCGTCGGTCCCCAAAGCACCTTTGTCAGACCTTCCTCCATCCTCACCTTTCGGTGATGGAGAGATGGGTGGGCAGGCTGGAGGAAATCTTTCCCCTTCCAGGGTGGCCGGCCTCACGGTGGGTTGGGGACCCTCCCCTAGGAGGCACCAGTGGCCGGCGGGCTCAGGCTTTGGGAAACGGAGATGAGGGTTCCCTGATGCCTGGGCCCCTTAGACTTTGGCGTAAAGCCAGGCTGCCTTGCCTGGCACTGCCCTTCTCCTGTGGACACAGCTGGCCTCGCCCTCTCCGAAGCTTGGGTGGGGGTGGGGCAGAGCAAGCGACAGCGTGGGAACCAGCTCCCCAGGGAAAAACTCCAGGCAGCCTGGGCACGTCTCTAGGGCGGGGCATGGGGGTTCCATATAGGCTCCCTCCTGCCTCTTCCCACCTCCAGCTCTAGGATCAAGGACTCCAGTTCTCCCCCTCTGAGCTGCACCAGTGACAGGGGAGAAGAGCTCCAGCTAGGAGAAGGCATCTCCTGCTCTCTAGGAACTGTACTGGGGCACCAGCTGGCACAGTGGATCCTGGGCATTTCTCCCAACCTGGGTGCAGTGAGAGAGGGGTGTCCTTTCTCATTCTCAGGAGCAGGTCTAGGAGGAAGAGATTCCCACGCTGTTTTGTCATTTCTGCCACCAGAACTCAGGTGACCTGCTCAGGCCTGGGAAAAGAATGGAGCTGGAGAGTTTTCTTGAAATTGGGGTAGTGGTTCCTCTGAGAAGAATCCTTGGGGAAGAAGGAAGTGAAGTAGCCAAGGTTCTCTCCCACTCCATGGGCCCAGGAGGCATTCATTCCTAAAGTGGGCACTGCCAGCTGCTCCCCCCCACTCCCCCATCCCTGCTGTGAGCCACTGCCTCCCGTTGTCATGGCAATGGGGAATTAGTGTCCCCCCCTCCCCCCAGCAGCATATGCCCAGGAAGGCAAGGGAAGAAAGAGTGAGGGGTAACCCTATCCCCTGTTGTCCCCTGTCATCCCCTGTCCTGGGAGAATGAGAAGCAATTCTAGACTTTTGCTTACCCATCCCTACTTAGAAAAGAAGACAAAAGACAAAAGACCTGTTTCATGGAATTGTTTGTTTTTGAGATAAATCTTGCTTATGGTGCTCAAGCTGGTTTTGAACTCCCTAGGCTCGAATGACCTACCACTGCCTCCAGAGTAGCTAGGAATATACGTGTTCACTGCCACGCACGAATTCTATGTGCTTAGAGTAAAAAAAAAAAAAAAAACAAAAACATGGTTACTGTTTGCAGTTTTTCCAATGAGTTTTGTGACCCTGAGAAACTTGATTAACCTTTCTGATCTGTCCCTGTCTCCTCCTCTTCCTCCTCCTCCTCCTCCTCCTCCTCCTCCTCCTCCTCCTCCTCCTCCTCCTCCTCCTCCTCCTCCTCCTCCTCCTCCTCCTCCTCTTCCTCCTCCTCTTCTTCTTCCTCCTCCTCTTCTTATTCTTCCTCCTCCTACTCCAAGAAGGGGATATGCTGATCCTGCCACTCAGGACATTTGGGATCACTGTGGCTATCCAGTTCCTAGTTTCTGAGCAGTGCTGTCTCCCTCCTGTGTGTATGCTCCTCCAGGGGACATCTTTCCTCTTCATTGTGCCCTGCTTTGCTCTGTTCCCTTCTCATCTTCCTCTCTCCCCTCTCCAGGGGAGACACTTCAGAGCCCTTGAGACCTCACCATGCCTGTTGCTGCCACCAACTCCGAGTCTGGTAAGAAGGGGGTGAGCCTGTCAGTTTCTTTCAGTGGTTCAGAGGTGCACCCCCACAGTTCACTCCATGGCTACTCAGCCCTTCACCCAGGCCATCTCCTCTCTGTGGGTTCTGTACTGGGGACAGAAGGGGTTGGACAGCTTAAGAAAGGGTTCCCAGGAGGGCCTTGAGGGCCAGGCCTTGGAGAACAGCCCAGTCCAGTGCTGAGAAGTACCGTAGACCAGCTGGGCGTGAGTGCAGGGGCAACAATGCCAGGTGTGATACTGTAGGAGATTTTCCAGCAAGGGGGTGGGCTGCTAGACAGACTGGAAAGCCTTGGAGCCAGCAGCTAAGCCTCATGGAGGCTGATTTTCATTTCCAATTCTGTAAAGAGGCTGAAGAGGGTGAGAGGGAGGAGTGTTCACAATTATTCTGCAGCTGTTACTGTCTTGCTTTGTCCTTGACCTCATGGCCTGGTGTCAGTCAACACCAGTTCACTGTCAGTCAAGGTGATCAGACAAGGTCACTGTCGTTCACATTCAGTGATCTTGGAGGAGACTGATGACAGTGATGGGCCCTCACCATGCATCTCATTCCAGGGGTTCATGCACCTGTGAGTGCTTTCTGGGGACCCACCAGGTTAAGTTCCTTGCTTTGAGGCTCTCCAAGGGCTTCGTAGAGCTGCTTTGGCTTTGGTGAGAATTCCCCAACTGAGATGCAGCTCCTTCCTGGCCCTGGGCCTTGCCCTCCTGCCACTGAAATGTTTTAGGTGCCAGAGCCCTGGCTATGGTCTTGTCCCCCAGGAGAGGCCTCCTCTCCCTGCACTGGTAGTCTTCTGCAGGCGTGGAGGGCTCTGGGCCTCCATCTGCTGCCCAGCCTGCTGCCACCCCCTCACCTCTACTCTCTCCCCTTGCTCCATTTTGCCTGAGCCCCCCTCTAAGCTGCTTAGGGGTTAATTAAACTCATCCCTGAGCCTGTGATTAAAGGTCCTTCATCTGGGGCTGCCCAGTAAACCCATTAAAAGCACCCAGCTGGGATGTAGAGGGAGGAGCCCGCCCAGCAATTTGGCTTCCCAGCTGCAGGCCACTTGATAGGGGCACAGTAGGCTTGGGGGACCGGGAGTAGAGCTCTGGGGATGGAACTCTCTCAAAAGATTCCTAGGGCCTCTGCTCCCCTGGTTGCTGTGCCTGGGGCTACTTCTGGCTTCTCATATTCAAAGGAAAAAGTACAGACTGTTCCTCTTCCCAGAGCTAGCCCTCTAAAGGTATCTTAGTTCCCAGCCTCACAAATGAAAGGGATGCATTCTTCTCCTTATCATCTGATGGTCATTTCACTTCCCATGGGACTGACAGACAGCTGTGCTCAAGATGAGTTGTGCTTGGCTGAGGTCAGATTCTCTTCTCCCTCCCCTTCTGCCTATATCTTCCCCTTCTATCCTTTCCCTACTATTTCCTTCCCCTTGCCTTGGGCTCTACAGAGATGAAGCTATGGAGGTCCTACCCTTTCTGACAAGTCAATACAGTTGTCATTTTGGAGGGAAGAATGGTGTGAGCATATTCCTCTTGTAGAGAGATAAGAGATGCCACTTGAATGTTGTTAGGAATGGGTGGGGGGAGGGTTGGAAGATCTGTGGGTGGTACCATGAGCTAAGAGTTTGGAGATCTTACTCCTGACCTCTCTCTTCACCCTTTACTAGACTAATTGCTTGTCTGTTTGTTTGCTCACTTGCTTTTGTATGTGCTTGTACTGGGGTTTGAACTCAGGGCCTGGGCATTGTCCCTTGAGCTTTTTCTGCTCAAGGCTAATGCTCTACCACTTGAGCTACAGCTCCACTTCTGGCTCTTTGATGATTAATAGGAGATGAGAGAAGCCAGCCCTTCTGGGTTGGCTTCAAATTGTGATTCTCAGATCTCAGCCTTCTGAGTAACTAGGATTATAGGCACACACCATCAGTGCCTGACTACAGTCCTTTTTGAAAAAAATCAAGGTGGGGATATGGGGCTACTTTCAGATAGAGCTGTCTCTTTAAATTTTTCTTGCATCCCTAGTTATTGTCCTGGTGTGTAATCTGCCTGCTGCCCTGGCAACCAGAGGCACTTAGAGACATTGTACAGCTCCTCAGAGACCAGTTTACTGGTGGTTGCAGCAAGTCTCCAGGTCGTGGCCTCATAGATACAGAGGCTCAGAGGGATGGGGCATAGTGCCAGGGTAGCTGCCAATCACATTCTTCCCTCCCCATGACCCTTCATATTTTCTCTCCCCCAGTTCCAAGATACCTGGCTTGTCTCTTGGGCATCACCCCTCACCCTAGGGCAGAGCTGATGAGAAATGGGGGAGGGGATACTAGATGTAGACTCCAAGGGCTGAGGCCTTCCCTTCCTCAGGGATGCCACCCTCCCTCCCCCACCATTCCCCTCTTCACCTGGGTGGGTGGTGGCTAGCCACCTGTAGGGGGAAGCATTTAGGACTGAGGTACTTGCTTCAGGCCATCACAGTACCAACTATCCAACTATATCTTGGACCTACCTAGAGTGGGTTTGGGTGGCTTCCTTTGATTGAGGAGCCACTGTAACTGACACTGGAGGAGGAGGCAGAGACCAGAGGTCAAAGGTCTGGGGGAGATGTCATGAAAGAGGGGTGCCAAGCCCTGCTTTGGGTTTCTATCCTTGAGGGAAGGCTGAGAGGGTAGGGTGCCTGGGCGCCACAACAGTCCAAAGGGGCTTACTCCCACCGTCCACACCTTCTAGAAGCCGTTGCTTCTCTCTACCTGGTACTAGAAGATGGGAGTTAGGGCATCTGTGGGATGGCTTTCTCCTGTCACCGCCCCCTCCCACCGGTTGCCACCTCCTCCCCACCCCGCAGCCTAGCAGCCTTGGCCAATCAGCAAGGAGGTTGGCTGGCGGAGCCTCGCTATTGGCTGGTTCTGCTGCGCTCCCGAGTTCCGCCTTCTCCAGGGCTGTCCGGGTTTGGCCGGGAAGGCGGGCGGGCAGCGCGCAAGCTTCCCGGGTGCCCAGTACCGGGGTCGTTATGGCTGGCAGCCCAGGCAGCGAGGCCTCCTTGGAGGGCATTTCTTTGGGCTCCTCTGAGGAAGCGGAGCTCCGGAGGGAAGGTAGGAGGTTGCGGGTGGAGAGGTGGGGGGGGGGGGCGGGAAAGCTTGCTCCTTAACTTACCCTCAGCAGCAGTGTTTGGAGGCTGGAAAAGAATCTTCAGAAGGGGGCTGGCTCCCTGGGATCCGTAAAGGTCTTGGGAGACTGGCCCGCCGTGGGGGAGCTGACCTGGGCCAAGGGTGTCATTTCCCCTGGATTACTTCCCCTCCTTTCCCCAGTTACTAAACTGGGCGGCTGGGGAGTTTATGATCAGAGTACATCCCTAGCACAGTAGGATGGATCCCTGTCCTGGCGCCTTTCAGAGCCCATGGAGTATTTTGCAGTCTTTAACCCTTGTGAGGCCCGGGCCTGCACAGGAGAGACATGGAAGACAGACTGGAATGTTGTTTCTGGAAAAGGTAAACAGGAGCCCCAGAACCTCCTCTGCCAGCTCCAGTTTCAGTGCCCTGCCTGCCCATCCTCCACACCTTCCTAAAGGAGGGGAGCCTTGACAAGAGTGTTGAGAGGTGCTGGGAATGAATGTACCCCTCCTCCAGGGCCTGGGTGCTGCTACACAGATGTAGACGTGGGTGGCAGAGTAATGATACCCCCTGCCCATCTCTGCCTCCAGCTGGGCACACTCTGCTTCTCTCTTGCCTTTCCCTGGAATCTGCCACAGCCTGGAGCTTCCATCTCAGCCAGGCAGCCTTATCCCACATCCTCAAGTGTACTCATGGCCTTGGTTAAATCTCTTCAGCCCTTGGATGTCTGCAGTGGCAGGGTTCCTGCCAGCGTTCCAGGCTTCAACTATGACTTCCTACCATTTATGTTAAATTTTCTGACAGATAGGTTACTGTCTGTCAGAGCTAATGGGAAAGACTGGGACCAGTAAGGGACAGTGACTTGTGTCATGCTACATTGAGTTAATGGTGTAGCTTGTACTTGATGCTGCAGTGAATCTGTCTGCTTGATTCTGGATCTGACCTCATGGTACATGCGCTAAGCATTGTCTGTCATCCCTGAGCCTGCCAGGTGCAGCTGGATGAGTCTCTAGGTTTCAGCCCATCTAGGGGTTGAGTGGTAAGCCTGTGTATTCCTGGTGGTGGGCAGATCTAAAACCTGACATCCATCTCCCAACCCCCAGAGACTATTTCCTATTGCCTGGACTCTCTACCTGCCCAGGCTGGCTTTACTTAGCGTGGAAGAACAAGCCAAGAAACCTCCCACCCCCACCCTCACCCCTAAGGGCCTCTGTCCCAGGCATACAGGGCCTGGATGCCTGTGTGAGGAGGGAGGGAAATGCTGCTAGGGAGGAGGGAGAGGGATGCATGGTGGTGCAATTTGGTCTTCTGTGCCCAGCTGGTACCCAAGTATCTCACTGCCTACTTTCCCCCTCCAGCCATGCAGCAAGTCCTGGACAACCTGGGATCCCTCCCCAATGCCACAGGTGCTGCAGAGCTGGATCTGATCTTCCTTCGAGGCATTATGGAAAGCCCCATAGTCAGATCCCTGGCCAAGGTATAGTGTTCCAGGGCACACAAGGGTACTGTGACTGGGAAGCTACAGAAGTCTCTGGGAATGGGGCATGTAGTATGAGAAGACCCCTGAAGGAATATGTAGAAGAATATCATGCCCATGTGATGAGCCTGAGGCTGCAGGTGTGTGGGAGGGGGTTGCCACCTGAACCTGGCTAGTGAATGTGATGGATGTTTGATGGCTGCAAGCTTTGTGGAGGGTCTGACAGGCAGGGAGCCTGCATATGCACAGAACTTTGTTTGTCCTGTCCATTCTTCTGCCTTTTGGCATTTCAGGAGGTGAATCAGGTGGGATGACAGATTCAGCAAAAGAGGAAATGGCAATGCTTGGGTGCTAGTGGCTCACACTTGTAATTCTAGTTACTCAGGAGGCTGAGATCTGAGGATTGTGGTTTGAGGCCAGCCCAGGCAGAACAATCTGTGAGACTCTTCAATTAACCAGCCAAAGCCAGAAGAGGAGGTATAGCTCAAGTGGTAGACTGAGTAAAAAAGTCAAGAGAGAATGCAAGGCCCAATTTAAGCCCCAGAACTGGTGCACACGCGCGCGTGCACACACACACACACACACACACATACAAACACACACACACACACAATAAAGAGGAAATGGCAGTTGGGCACCAGTGGCTCACATCTGTAATACTAGCTACTCAGGAGGATTAGAATGTTGATCGCGGTTCATAGTCAGCCCAGGCAGGACAGTCCATGAGACTCTTATCTCCAATAAACTACTCAGAAATAGCCAGAAATGGTGCTATGGCTCAGGTGGTAGATGCTAGCCTTGAGCACAAAGAGGCTAATGGAGAATGTCCAGGCCTTCAGTTCAAGACTCAGGACTGAAAAGAGAGAGGCAGGAGGGGAATGACAAAAGATTTTGGTAATGGCCGTGCCAAAAGCAGTTGCACTAGGTGTTTAGGGAAGGAGGTTGAGAACAGGTGCTAACTCAGCCCAGGGGAGGAAGGTGGAGGAGGAAGGGGCAGCTGGAGAGGCTTCCTGGAGGAAGAGTCATCTGGTTGAGTGCAGAGGATGAAGGGGGTTGGGTGTTCTGGACCACAAAAAGAGCTTGTGCAGGAACAGCAAGGTGAGAAGAAGCTGGAAGTGTGCAGGGACAATGTGCCGGTGTGAAGCTGGAACGTCAGGTGTGAGACAAAGGAAATGTCAGGTCATGGAGGGTCACATCTGGGGTGGCAAAGACCAATTAGGGGCTGTGCAGTGATTCCAGTTGAGGCTGCTAAGAGCCATCTGGTGCTGGTAAAACTTGGTGTTTGGGGTGGGGTGTAGCACACAGAGGTGGGCAGACCTGGAAGTGATAGCTAGAGGTTCAGGCTTGGAATTCATAATGGAAGCAGGGCAGTCCTCCAGGACTTAGGGGCCAAGGGTTGCGTAGGGAGATTCAGAGATGAAGATGACTAGTCACTGAAGGGACATGGAACCAAATGAACAGGAGCCTGCACTGTCAAGATGCTGATTTCTCAGGGTGGTAGGCAAAGATTTCCTAGAGCAGAGACAAAGAGAAAGAAGAGGTGGCTTTGGTCCAGTGTGTGCTGGCTCTCCAGATGCAGGAGGAGACATATGAAGGGGCCTGGAGAACAGCTCAGAGCATTACCTCTGAGGGCCAGGATGGGAGGAAGCAGAGAGCCAAGGAAAGAATGGAGGTGAAGGTCTGGGCTGTGCTGAGATCACGGAGTGTTTAGGAGGGCAAAGGCCGTTTACAGATGGAAAAGACTGAGGTCAAAGAAAAGGAGCTAGGGAGTAAAAAATTTCCCAGGACAGCTCTGGGGATGCCATGACTTTGTAGAGTATGGCTGCTGTGGGTGGCAGGTCATGAGTGATAAAGATGTCCAGGAATGAACACTGTGGTGTGGGTGAGCATGGCTTGTGGATCTCAGAATCCCGGCAATAACAGGTGTTGGTGTGGGAAGAGGACTGAGGCAATCCCAAGGTTTTTAGTGAATGGTGGGGAGAGTGACAGGAAGTGAGCAGTGAGTGATGGCTGGCTGGGAGGGAGAAGGCAGTAGAGCCAGATGGTGGGTTTTCTGTAAGGCTAGGGTGGGGGCTCTTTATTGGAGGCTGTGGCTGGCCCTAAGGCAGAAGAAGCAAGTCCTGCTGCAGGGGACACTGTGACCTAGGACACATCCTAGATACGTTACTATCTGTGGAATGGTTGAAGGCCTGGGGAGGGTAAGAGCAGACATGGAAAGTCCCAGGGGTTAACAATGGCATGAGCCACTGGTGTCCATCCCTAGGGTTCAAATGAGAGGGCCTTGTTTTCTGCCAAGATCAGAAGGGTTGGAGTGGGGAGAGCAGGGCAAAAAGCTTTCAAGGAAATGGCTACGATGAGAGGGCCTTGTTTTCTGCCAAGATCAGAAGGGTTGGAGTGGGGAGAGCAGGGCAAAAAGCTTTCAAGGAAATGGCTACGTGGAGTTTCTTAGCTTGCAGCCTTCAGAGGCTCTGGGTTACCTGGCAAAGCAGGTGTGACTCTGGTTCTACCAGTAATTAGGCCAAGCTTCTACCTGGCCCAAACTTCTGGCTTGCTGAGCCCAAGCCTGGCTTTGCTGAGGATGATTTTTGAAAGCAGAATGCTACAAATGGTTACCATAGAAATCCTGATCATTCTCCTGGCTCTGGGGCTTGCTGCCTCTCAACTGCAGTGTGTGCATGGTGTGTGGATTACTTATAAGAAGAGTAAGACTGCCTTAGCAATGTCATAGTGTAAAAAATAATTTTTTACTTAATAATATTAAACAAAAATTCTTCAGGAACATATGTATATGTGTGTGTATACACATACAAATGTGTGTATAATTTTTTTTCACTTTTTTGAGGTTCTGAGGTAGGTACTTACCACTGAGCCATGCCTCCGGCCATATGATTCCCTTTTTATTATTAATTTATTGTTAATATAGAGGTGATGTACAGAGGGGTTACAATTATATGAATCAGGTAATGAGTACATTTCCTTTCGTACAGTGTCTTCTGTTCCCTCACTCTCTCCCTGTCCCTCCCTCCCATTTCCACCCACAAGTTGTATAGTTCATTTGTACCATTTTCCAGTGTGTTTCACTGCTGCACCTTTTCGCCTTTTTTCCCTCGAGTTCTGAACCCTCCCCCAAACCCTTCCAAACATGTACACTTGAATACACCATATATAAGGTAAAGAAGACAGACTCGTCAAAAACTAAAAACTAAAAAGAAAGAAAAAAAGAAAAACAAAGGATAAAAGAAGAGGACTCTTGTTTCCATATCTTGGAATTCATTCTCTCTCTCTCTCTCCTTCCCTCCCCCGCCTCTCTCTCTCTATATATATATGGTTTTTTTTTTTTGTCAATCATGGGGCTTGAACTCTGGGCCTGGGCTCTGTCACTGAACATTTCAGCTCAAGGGACATGCTCTACTACTTGAGCCACAGTGCCACTTCCATTATGTATATTTTATATAAATATGAAGAGGCACTTAGGCATTGCACCTTTGTGTTTCTCTCCTAAGAGTATCTTCTTTTTGTCTCACTGTGTGAATATCCAGAAATCTGTATAATTTACATGATTCCCTTTTATTTTTTAACTACATGTTTATTATTTATTTATTTTTAATTATGAAAATACTGTACAGAGGGTTACAATTACATGGGCAAGGTAATGAGTACATTTCTTACCAAGCATTGTTGCCTCCTCCTTTGTTTCCCCTTCCCATACGTTCCCATCTCCCCCCCTCCCCCATGACTCCCTTTTAAGAGTAAAAATAACTAAAAGCAGCCTAGCTGTTGTTGGTTCATGTCTATTATACTAGCTACTCAGGATTCTGAGAGCTGGATGTTTGCGATTTGAAGTCAGCCTGGGCAGAAAACTCTTCAAGACTCCATCTCCAGAAAGTAAGCCTGGTTGGGCTGGTTGAGCTGAGATCTGAGGACTAAAGTTCAAAACCAGCCTGGGGGATAAAAGTCTATGAGACTCCCATCTCCAGTTAACCAGCATAATGTCAGACTAGAGGTGGTGGAGCATGGTGGTAGAGTGCCAATTGTGAATAAGGAGGCCAAGCCAGAGTGTGAGGCCTTGAGTTCAAGTTCCATTCCCAGCACAAAAAAAAACAAGACAAGAGGCATGGTTCAAGTGGTGGTATACCAGTTGAGCAAACATAAGTCCCTGAGTTCAAACTCTGGTGGCAGATTCATAACATTGTCCTGGGCACAGTAATGACCCAGAGCCTTGAGAAGCCTCCATCTCCCACTCAGGCTCCATAGGCTATGTTGAACTCAGTGACTAGATCACACAGGCTCTAGGAAATCAACTCTTTGAGACCTGTTCTTGTGCCCAAATGAGAATCCTTTGTCTCTTCCATGTGTTTCCCCCAGCCAGCATCTAGCCTATATTGTACAACTGCTGTATGCTTAGCACAATATCTCAATGAATCCTCATACTATTCCTATGAGTGACTGAAATCTCCCTGTCTTGAGCTGGGTGTAGTGGCTTCTTCTAGTAGCTCTGGCAACCAGGAAATAGACACAGAAGGATCTCTGAGCCCAGAATTTCAAGACCAACCTGGATATCATAGCAAGATCTCATAAACAGTCCCTTCCATCACCCTACTTCAACATTTAACAACTCATTCATCTATCTTTCCACCCTCATCCCTCTCTCCTGAATTTTTTTTTTGCCAGTCCTGGAGCTTGAACTCAGGGCCTGAGTACTGTCCTTTAGCCTCTCTGTGCAGGAGGTTAGCACTCTACCACTTAAGCTACAGCACCACTTGCGGCCTTTTCTCTGTGTGTGGTACTGAGGAATTGAACCCAGGGCTTCATGCACGCTAGAAAAGCCCTGTACTAAGCCACATTCCCAGCCCTCCTGAATTATTTTGAAATATATTTCAGACATGATATAATTTTATCTAGAAGTAGTTCAATATGTGTACATCAAAATATAAGGATTTTTTCCTCATTTTCTTTCTTTTGTCTTTCTTTCTTTCTTCCTCTCTCTCTCTCTTTCTTTCTTTCTCTCTCTCTCTCTCTTTCCTTCTTTCTTTCTTTCTTTTTTTTTTTTGGTGGACCTGGGGTTTGAACTCAAGGTCTTATGCTTGCTAGGCAGGTGTTCTACTGCTGAGTCATGCCTCCAATTCATGTTTGCTCTGGCTATTTTGACATAAGTTCTTGCTTTCTGTGTCTACACTGTGATACTTCCTCCTCCTCCTCTTCTTCTTCCTTCTTCCTCCCCCTCCTCCTCCTCCTCCTCCTCCTCTTCCTCCTCCTCCTCCTCCTCCTCCTTCTTCTTCCTCTTTCTTCTGCCAGTCCTGGGGCTTGAACTCAGGGCCTGGGCACTGTCTCTGAGCTTCTTTTGCTCAAGGATAGTACCCTACCACTTGAGCCACAGTGCCACTTCTGTCTTGTTTTGTTTTTGTTTATGTGGTACTAGGAATCAAACCCAGGGCTTTATGCATGCTAAAGCACTCTACTACTAAGCCACATTCCCAGCCCTGATACTTCTATTTTAAAATGCCTCTTACTATAGCTGATGTGACAGGTGTGTAACTCTGTGTCCAACTATTGGTTAAAATGGAATCTTGTGAACTTTTTGCCCAGTTTGGCCTAGAGCCACAATCCTCCCGATTTCAGCCCCTCAAGTATCTGGAATTACAGATGTGAGCCACCATGCATGCATTTAAAAAAAAAAAAGTAATCATGCTTTTATTCTCACATTTAAAAAACTAAGCAATTATTTTCTTATTGTTTTAATAAATAACATTAAAACATCTGGTCATTGTTTTGAAATATTTCAAACTGGAATCTCAGACTACATACGAGAATTAACTCCAAACAGAAGTCTAGATGTGAAATATCTTAGAAGAAAACTGTGTAGGGAAAGCCCTCACTTCATGCTTTAAAATTCAGATACATAAGAGATTAATTGAATTCAACCACATTAAAAAATTTTTTGCACGGCAAAAACACCATAAGCAGAATCAAAAGACATATGACAAACCCAAGGAAGCGATCTGCAAGAAGTATCACAAATAAAGGGCTAATCTCAATATAGAGAGAACATTTAAAAATGAGAAAAAAGGAAACAAATAGAAAAATTGGCAAAAATCATGAACAGACAGTTCACAGAAATAGATATATGCAGATGGTCCTTAAAAATATGAAGAGATGCTTGTCTTCATTTGTGATAAGCAGAATGCAAATTAAGCCCCACGGAAAAGACATTTCTCATCTATGGGATTGGCAGGCATTCAAAGGTTTGATCATCCGGGAAATCTCTTGTCATGCTGCAGGGAGAGCAGATCCGCCCAGCCCATGGAAGGGAGTTTGTCAACAGTAAGAAAACCACAAATGTATTTATTGCTTGGTCCTGTAAGACTTGACAGGGAAGATCTCCACAGACACAGAATATTCTCTCTCTCTCTCTCTCTCTCTCTCTCTCTCTCTGTAGTTAACACAGTTATCTGCTGCAGTCTTAGTTGCAATAGCAAAATACTAGAACTAACCTAAATACTTAAATTGATTGAATAAATTACAGTAAATTACAGGACTCTAGTCATGCAATAGAATCAAATGCAGTAATTAAGAAAAAACAAACAAAACAACTGGAAGCCACACCTGATGGCTCAATGCTTGTACAATCCTAACTACTCAGGAGGCTCCGCTCTGAGGATTGAGGTTCAGTCAATCAGGGCAGAAAAGTCTGTGAGACTCTTATCTCTAATACTCCAGTAAAAAAGCTACCCTAGAGGCATAGTGTATGTGGTAGAGCATCAGTCATGAGTGCAAAAGCTAATTAAGAGCATGTGGCTCTGAGTTCAAGACACAAAGATTGGAGAAGATCTCCATGTGGCAGCAAAAGTGATTTCTAGGGTATACAGTTAGGTTACAAGAACAGGCCCTGAGTTGAAGCCCCAGGACTGGGAGGAGGAGGAGGAGGAGGAGGAAGAGGAGGAGGAGGAGGAGGAGGAGGAGGAGGCAACAAACTAGTTAAACTAAAACCCCCAAGTTTCAAAGGTTTCCAGGGGTACCAGCAGTTTATGATTATAATCCTAGCTATTCAGGATGCTAAGATATGGAGAATTGTGGTTCAAACCCAGCCAGAGCAGAAAAATTTGCAAGACTGTCTTCTGAATAAGCAGCAAAAACCTGGCTGGAGTCATGGCTCAAGTGCTAGAGTACCAGCCAACCAACCAAGCTGTGTGAGTGTTAGGCCCTTAGTTCAAATCCTGATATGACAAAAAGAAAAAGAAAAAAAGGAAGGCAGGCAGGCAGGGCGGCAAATAATAAGTCAGGCATGGTAGTGCATACCTGCGGTACTAGTGCTTGGAAGGCAAGAGAATGGAGAATCTGATTCAAAACCCCAAATCAACTAGCCAGAGAGCTCCCCAAAAGAACTCGAATAAACCATAAACTAGTGAAAATGTTCCTTCTAAGATTTGGGTGTGAATGGGGTAGAAGGGATGTGCATGGAATTCTTTGAGGTTACACGTGTGTCTGTGTCTGTCCGGGGGCTTGAACTTAGAGCCTAGGCACTAATCATTTTAGGGCAAGAAAAATGGGCGAGTCTGTGGGTGTGGTGTTTGTGTGTGAGGGAGCTGTGGAAGCTGATACCTAAGGCTCCGCCGTGGGTGGGATCCAAAGTCAGCACTGGGGCTGGGCAGAGGCTGGTTGGTGTGGGGATGCGGGGAGCTGGGGGCAGGACACGAGCTCCCGGGAAGCAGCCAGCCTCACCTGTCCTGTCCCCATACCCAGGCCCATGAGAGACTAGAGGAGACGAAGCTGGAAGCTGTGCGGGACAACAACCTGGAGCTGGTGCAGGAGATCCTGCGGGACCTGGCACAGCTGGCAGAGCAGAGCAGCACCGCTGCAGAGCTGGCGCGAATCCTCCAGGAGCCGCACTTCCAGGTTGGGGGGAGTGGGCGGGGCATGCGGCTGGGGGCGGAGGCTGTTGGAGGGAAGTGGGCGTGGTGTGGCAGGGATGCTTTAGGCGAGGTGGGGCAGTGGGAGGGGCAAGTGGCTGGGGCGGGGAAGTGGGTGGGGCATGCGTGTGGGCGGGGCTGTTTGGAAGGCGTGGAATGGGAGGGGCGTGTGGCTGGGGGTGGGGCCTGCAGAAGTTCCTAGGGAACTGCTTTAATGCTCCTTCGTTCCCCATCATTTCTCCAGTCCCTTCTGGAGACGCACGACTCAGTAGCCTCCAAAACTTATGAGACACCACCCCCCAGCCCTGGTCTGGACCCCACATTCAGCAACCAGCCGGTACCTCCAGATGCGGTGCGCATGGTGGGCATCCGCAAGACTGCAGGAGAGCATCTGGTAAGGGGGCCAGGCAGGGCCAGAGCTGGTATCTGCAGAATAACCAATGAGGGGACAGGAAAGATTAGGAGGGGCTGAAGATGAAGGTCGGCTCAGCTTTGCCCAAGGAAGGTCTTATGCAGACCCAGGAGAGCACAGAAGCCCGAGCTGCCAACACAGAGGTCAGGACCTCTCAGGGCTGAGCTTTTGCCCCTTAATGCCTCTTGTGGTGGAGAATTGGAACAGGTCAGTTGCTAGTGGCCCACTCCTGTAATCCTAGCTACTCAGGAGGCTGAGATCTGAGGATCACAGTTTGAAACCCTGAGACTCTTACCTCCACAGTACCAGCAAAAAGCCGGAAGTGGAGTTGTGGCACAAATGGTAGAGTGTGGTAGAATGTCGGCCTTGACTGAAAAGACCAAAGAGAGTGCTTGAAGCCCTGAGTTCAAGCCCTAGCACCTGTATACAAAGTAGGGGGGCAGATGGAAGCGGATTTTGGAGTGTGGGGGTGGGTGGGGACAAGGTCGGAGGCTCATTAGGAGACCCATCTGAAGATTCTGGTTTGGAGCCTTATTACATACACCTCTGTCCCTTAGGGTGTGACATTTCGGGTGGAGGGTGGCGAGTTGGTGATCGCACGCATACTGCACGGGGGCATGGTGGCCCAGCAAGGCCTGCTGCACGTGGGGGACATCATCAAGGAGGTGAATGGGCAGCCGGTGGGTAGCGACCCCCGGGCACTGCAGGAGCTCCTACGCAGTGCCAGTGGCAGCGTCATCCTCAAGATCCTGCCTAGCTACCAGGAGCCCCATCTGCCTCGTCAGGTGGGTTTTTCTACCTAACCTTCCACCCCTCACAAGGCCCAATGGATGGTGGAGTCTCCCAGCTGTGAGGGCCCCAGGGCTCATGGAGCTTCTCCTTTTCAGACAAAACAGACAACAGGATTCCAGGGCCCGAGGGTAGCTCAGCCCTGCGTTGTATAGGTGCTTGTGCCTTTGTCTGCAGGCTGCTTAGGCACTTATGCATGTGTGAGAGATTACTATGCATTTCTGCCACTTGGGTGCCACTTGAGTGTACAAGAGAACATCTATACCCTGTGCAATGGGCTTTGCACACATAGATGATCCTGTGCAGGGTGGGCTTGTTGTATGCCCTCGACAACTATCTCCTGATTGGTGGATTGCAGAAGTTGGGCTGCTTTGCCATCCTCTCCCTCTACCACACACACACACACACTGTACCTCTCACCATCCCTGAAGCTCTATTCTCTTAGAGCCCTCTGTTCCAGGAGGGAGATGGCAGCCAGAGAAATAAGGAGTTAGGTCCCAGGGTCCTCTACCTGGGTGACCCTGTCTCTTCAGTTCTAGGCCAGTCTCAACCCTGAGCAGTTTCTTCATCCCTCAACCCGAGTCTTCTTTTTCTCCTCCTCCTCCTCCTCCTCCTCCTCCTCCTCCTCCTCCTCCTCCTCCTCCTCCTCCTCCTCCTCCTCCTCCTCCTCCTCCTCCTCCTCTTCCTCTTCCTCTGCCTCCTCCTCTTCCTCCTCCTCCTTCTTCTTCTTCTTCTGTCGTGGGGCTTGAACTCTGGGCCTAGGCGCTGTCTCTGAGCTATTCAGCTCAAGGCTAGTGCTCTACCACTTGAACCATAGCGCTACTTCCGGTTTTCTGGTGGTTTACTGGAGAAAAGAGTCTCATGGACTTTCTTGCCTGGGTTGGCTTTGAACCACGATCCTCAGATCTCAGCCTCCTGAGTAGCTAGGATTACAGGCATGAGCCACCAGCACCCAGCTCAACCTGAGTCTTCTATATGTCAAGAAAGACTGGGACTCAGGGAGGACAGGCCTGGAGACATCAGTGTTCTGGGGAGGGGTTGGCAGTTAAGAGAGGAAGGGGATTGGTGCCTCATGCCTGTAATCCTAGCTACTCAGGAGGCTGAGATCTGAGGGATCAAAGCCAGCCCAAGTAGGAAAGTCTGTGAGACTCTTATCTCCAATAAACAACCAGAAAACCGCAAGTGGTGCTGTAGCCCAAGTGAGTAGAGTGCTAGCCTTGAGCTGAAGAGCTGAGTAACAATGCCTAGACCCAGAGTTCAAGCTGCATGACCGAGGGAAAAGAGAGGGGGGTAGAGAGGAAGGGGTAAGGGGAAGACCATGGGCCACCTGCCCTTCCAACAGAGACTACCTCTGTTCTTTCCTTTAACTTTTCACCAATTCCTGGACCCAGGTATTTGTTAAATGCCACTTTGACTATGACCCGGCCCGAGACAGTCTCATCCCATGCAAGGAAGCAGGCCTGCGCTTCAACGCTGGCGATTTGCTCCAGATTGTAAACCAGGATGATGCCAACTGGTGGCAGGTGAGCTCTGGGTGTTACCTGAAGCTTTTCCAGGTATGGTGGGAAGGGGAAGAGATAAAGGCACACGGAGGGGTTTTCTCACTCAGGCTGGTGATTGTTGCAGGCCTGCCATGTGGAAGGGGGCAGTGCTGGGCTCATTCCTAGCCAGCTGCTGGAGGAGAAGCGGAAGGCGTTTGTCAAACGGGACCTGGAGCTGACACCCACCTCAGGTAGGAGCTCCCTCCCCTAGCCTCAATCTGCGATTGCAGGGCGGGCAGCATGGAATCTGCCTGCCTTACTCACCCACCTCCATATGGCCAGGGACCTTATGCGGCAGCCTTTCGGGAAAGAAGAAGAAGCGAATGATGTATTTGACCACCAAGAATGCAGGTGGGTATTCGCACCTCAGTGACTTGTGAATTTGCTTTCCTGCCTCAGACACTGCCAGCCTTGACCCTACCAAGGTCCCCCCCTCTTCTCCCTTACTCCCAAACCCTTTGATCCTTGACCTCCCTGAGTGCTCTGCCCCTCCTCCACCGTGCAGCCTGATGAGCAGTGCCATCTCCCCCTGTGTCCAGAGTTTGACCGCCATGAACTGCTTATTTATGAGGAGGTGGCCCGCATGCCCCCATTCCGCCGGAAAACCCTGGTGCTGATTGGGGCGCAGGGTGTGGGCCGGCGCAGCCTGAAGAACAAGCTCATCATGTGGGATCCAGATCGCTATGGCACCACAGTACCCTGTGAGTAAGGAGCTGGGCCCTGCTGGGTGGGTGTCTGGAGTAGGGGCTGCCTCTGTATAGGCTGGTTTCCCTCAAGGAAGGAACAAGTTTATGGCACTAGGTCAGGGAGTGAGCTGTGGGGTGTTCGCCTTCTGTGGGTGGTAGAGGGAACTGCAGGTTCGGCCCCTTTCCTTTTCCTATGCTTACAAGCTATGACAAAAGTGAGTGTGGCCTTGTGGCAGTCAGGGCCTCTCAGTGATGGGACCATCAGGCTGAGTGCAGGTGTTGGTGATGGCAGCACTGATGGTAAATGCTTCTGGCACCTTGAGGTAGCCAGAGTGCTGCTTCACCCTTGTGGCTTTGGGCCACACATTGCTATTCTGGGCCTCAGTTGCCATCTATGAGCGCAGGATTGGACCAGGTGCTCACTGAAGGCTCTCCCAGAACAGAGTCCTGTGTCCACCTATGTCTGTGCCAGTGGCCAAGGTGAGGGCAGGTGTGTGTGAGAAGGCAGCTGTACTGGGAAGGTGGAAGCCAGACTTCACCCCCCAGGCCTGAAAATGTAGGACTCACCTAGAACACGTGCATATATTTGTGATGTCTTACCTGTGGCCGTTCAGTCCTTTCTCCCTCCTCACCCCCAGACACATCCCGGAGACCCAAGGACTCAGAGCGGGAAGGCCAGGGCTACAGCTTTGTGTCCCGTGGGGAGATGGAGGCTGACATCCGTGCTGGCCGCTACCTGGAACATGGCGAATATGAAGGCAACTTGTATGGCACACGAATCGATTCCATCCGGGGTGTGGTTGCTGCCGGCAAGGTGTGCGTGCTGGATGTCAACCCTCAGGTACAGCCTGGCCTGCCAGTACGCTGTCCATGTACTCTGTTCCCCTCTTATCTCCCAAGCAGCCCTATATACCCCTCATTAGTGCTAGGGACCTAGCCCACCCAGAGGCCCTCCTTTCTCAGCTTCTCAGATCCTCATTTCCTGCTCCTTGAGTTTGTCTACCATTCATCCACAGGACTCAAGGCCCAGAATCCCAGGTGCCCCTTTCTTACCCACCCTCAGGTGTCCACCCTGTCACCCAGCATTCTGTTCTCAGGACATGTGTGGGATATACTTCCCCTGCTGCTCTTCTCCTGTAGGCCGTGAAGGTGCTGAGGACAGCTGAGTTTGTCCCTTACGTGGTTTTCATTGAGGCCCCCGACTTTGAGACTCTGCGGGCTATGAACCGGGCTGCTCTGGAGAGTGGAGTGTCCACCAAGCAGCTCACGGTGAGTGGCTCTGAGCTGTGATCGTGGTGATGGGGCAGGCTCTAGATGATGGAAAAAAGAAGATGGTGTGGGCGCTGGGTGAAGGTGGCTTACCCCGTAATCCTAGTTACGCAGGAGGCTGAGATCTGAGGATTACAGTTCAAAACCAACCCGGAGGGCTGGGAAGGTGGCTCAGTGGTAGAGCACTTGCCTTGCATGCATAAGGCCCTAGGTTCGATTCCTCAGCACCACATAAGCAGAAAGAAAAAAGCAGGAAGTGGCACTGTGGCTCAAGTGGTAGAGTGCTAGCTTTGAGGGACAGCGCCCAGGCCCAGAGTTCAGGCCCCACGACCGGACCCAAAAAATAAAAATAAAGAAAAAAACAAAACCAACCCAGGCAGGAAAGTCTGTGAGACTTGTATCTACAGTTAATCACTAGAAAATTGGAATTGGAGCCATAGCTTAGAGTGATAGAGCACTAGCTGTGAGCAAAAAGGCTTGGGAACAACACCTGGCCCAGAGTTCAAGCCCCATGAGCAATTTAAAAAAAAAAAAAAAGGAAAGAGAAAAGGATGATGGATGGATGGTGTAGGAAAGGAAGAAGTCCTCACTGAACTTATCAATGAGGTAGAACTTTTTTTTTGTTTGTTTTTTAAGGACTTTTTTTTTGTTTTTTACTTGTTTTTAAGGTTTTTTTTTTTTAACTATATAACCCAAATTGCTTGGAACATATTATATAGCTCAGACTAGCCGCAAACATGATTTTCCTGCGCTAGCCTTCTGAGTGCTGGGATTACAGGTATGCACCACCACACCTAGCATAGCTTTGAGATTTTATATATGTGTGTCATATTGAGGATGGAACCCAGGACCTTGCACATGCTAGACAAGTGCTCTGCCACTGAACTAGGACTGCTGATTCCTGATTTATAGATGTGGAAAGGGAGACCTGAGAGGGTAAGTAGAATGCCTAGTCACTGATATCCTGAGGCACAAAAGCTTCTGCTCCATCCATCTTGCATGGACAGAGTACTGGCCAAGGGAAGCTCCAGAGGGCCAGTGGAAGATAGGTTAGGCAAAGGTGGGCAGGGGCTGTTCCATGAGCTTACTGCTAGGAGAAGGCCAAAGGGAGGGAGGATGTGAAAGTGGGAGGCTAGCTGAGATGATGCGTTGGTATCAGGGACCAGGGAGCTTCTGGTAGAAAGGCTGTCTGCCTTACTCCAGGGCACCTGAGCTGCAGAACCCCAGGATGGGTCAGGTTTGCAGAATTCTGAGTTCAGGGGGTCCCTCTGCTGGTCACATGTATTACTGCAACTATCAGGCTCTGATATCTGAGCACCATGCAGATGAGAGAAGCTGTAAAGGGGGGGTGGGCATGGATTGGGTGAGTGTAAGCCTCTACCCCATCCCCACTCTCAGCTCTGAGTCTTTGCCTGGTTCTTGCTCTGGGAACCTTCATTTGGCAAGAAATACACTGGACTGGGCTGCTGGGCAGCAGCTGCTCTTGGCTTACTTAATTTTCAAGTTCCCTTTCCCACCCCTGCCTAGCCAAGGCCCATTGGTCATGCTGCATAGGTAAGGACCTGGTCAGCCTGGAGGGAGCATGAGTTGGGAGAAAGCCTTATTTAGCCTGGGTTCTAGGCTGCCTGTGACCTCTTTGTACATAGTTTTCTGTTGTAAACTAGAGAGAACCCAAACCTTGCAGATTATAGTGAAGATTCTTTGGGTTACAAAATGTTTAGGGCCCCACCAAGCACTTCCTATGGTTTATTTCCTTCCTTCCTTTCACCCATCCATCTGACTCCAGTTGCATAGTTCTGCCTTGGGGTACCCAGGGAGGAGTTCCTCTCTCCCTGGCCACTGTGCTGGAGACTTTGGGAGAGGCACAGGCTGGAGACCCCTGTTGCTGGGGGTGAGATGTGGGCACTGTCTGATGGGATGCCCCCCCCTCCCCCATGCCCGGCAGGAGACAGACCTGAGACGGACAGTGGAGGAGAGCAGCCGCATCCAGAGGGGCTATGGGCACTACTTCGACCTCAGCCTGGTCAACAGCAACCTCGAGAGGACCTTCCGTGAGCTCCAGGCTGCCATGGAGAAGCTGCGGACGGAGCCCCAGTGGGTGCCCGTTAGCTGGGTGTACTGAACCTCTTCAATGGGACTTTGTTCCCCACTGGGTTGTAACCCACGGCCTGAATCCATTCCTTTCCCCACCCATGACCCCCTGCCCCCAGCCATGGTCTTCTGCCTCCACCTCTGGCTTTTCTGGGTAGCAGCTCCCAGTAGGCACTAAGACTGGCTTTAGCACAGAAGTGTGTGCTGCCAGGGAGGTGGGTGTTCATGGGGCACCTATGTGCCCAGGTGCTGTCCACTCCCAGGCCATTGGCCACTAGATGTCTCTCCCTAAGGGGCCAAGCTATACCCAGGAGTACGCCAGAGTCACCTCCCATAGTGCTCAGTCAGAAAAGAGCAAAACTGCTTGGGGACCCCATGGATAGTGGGGCCCTGCCACCTCTCTCCAACTGCCTTTACTCCTCCAGATTGACCACTCCAATCCTATTCTCCCACCTGTCACCCCTGGTCCTACAAGCAGGCCTGGGGCTGTTTCCTTTGGCCAGTCAGGCAGAGCTGGGCAGTGATACCAATCTGGGTTGTATTGGAGGCTGAAAGACACAAACCATGAGCCGTTGTCACAAGTGGGCAGTGTGGCCCTCAGCTCCCTTGGAAGGGGTGGACACTGCCCTGCCCTCCCTCCCTCACAGCTTCTCACTGCCAGAGTCTCTCCACAGCCTTCTCCCATGGGCCCTTGGCAGGTCCTCCCTGCTCCCCAAAGGGAGAGGCTGGCAGCAGCTGGTAGGCTCAGCCCAGGGGTGTATGTGTGTGTGTGTGTGTGTGCGCGTGCACGTGTGTGTGTGTGTGTGTGTGTGTGTGTGTGGTAGAAGGCTGAGCCCTGTGCTCAGGTGCCTGCTCTACTGATGAAAGGCTCCAGGGCCTATGGTGGGGGACTCATTGTCCCTATCCAGGAGTTCTGTCCATTTTGATCTTTTTGGTGGGAACCAGGAGGGCTACTCATACCAGGGCTGCCAGGGTGGAGGCCAAGGGACTTGTAAACACAGACTTGGAGACCCACAGGCGCCCTCTAGGAGCTTCTGGCTGCACAGTTCCAGGAGCACCATTCATACTGCAGCCCGAATGACCTGTGGTTCTGTTTGCTTCAGTGCTGTTCTGTGTTTCTAAATCCTGTTGTGGTTGTGTGTCAGGCACAGTTTGGGGCAACGGAGGTGGGGGGGGCGGGTGCAGGGGAACTAAATGTTATTTTTCTTTTGAGGCTACTCCCTGGGCTCCATTAATAGGGGAGTTCTCCACCAGCTCCATTTTTAGCAAGACCCTCATCCTACACTCCAGAGCCTAGGCCTTCCCCAGCTGTGTTCCTCCGTGTTCCCATTGTCCCCTGTCCTGAATGCCACCCTCCAGTCCTGGGGGAAAGGCACTTTTGTAAAATAGGTGAATCCTTTTTAAGTATCCTGTCCTAGATGTCCCTGGGCATCTCATCCCTCATCCTTCCCGACATGAGCCTGTCTTTAGAGGGGACCCTCATAACCTCCATTCCTGTGCCTCTAGGTTCTTGTGTATGTCCAGCCAGCCTTGGCTGCAGTGTCAGTCCAAGCTGGCCCCGGAGCCACTGTGTTTGTTTCCTAGGGAAGGGGAGAGAGAGAAGAAACAGAATATTTATTACAAAGGTTAGAAATATATTTATTATATTAGGAGTCTCATTTGCATAGGATATGCAAATGAGGTATAGAGGTCAAGTCAGCTCCCATCTCATTTGCATAGCTCATCTGCAATCTTTATATTCTTTTCCCCTGGAGTCCGAGTCTTTTATCCTTTGTTCAGTGCTCCCTTGGGTCACCCTCCCCCTCTGCCCAGAAGACTGGCAGGGGGAGGGGAATGGGCTGTTTTCCTGCACATTTGAGGCCATAGAGTTATTTGCCAGGTTCATCTTCCTGGGAGCCTTGCAGGGACAGATGGGTGTGGCACCAGCCATTTCCTGTGGCTGTCCAACATGGCAGGCCTGACACTTCCTCCTCCAGTGACGCTGAGGGGCTGTGCCCGGCCTCTCCCCGCTCCTACTGAGTCCAACCTGCTCCTGGCACCTATCTGATGGATGCCGAGGCCATGGGCACCCTCAGCTCACCTGGCGGAGCCAGGGCTGGTTGTAATAGGTGTGTCCTCACAGAGGTAGCTCTGTCATTGTCCTCCCTTTCTTTGTGGACTCTTGTGTTTGGGGGACCTAAAGAGAATGAGAACTCACCTCTCGGGGTTCACACTCAGCCCTAGCCCAATTGCCCTTCCTTTCCTTCTCCCTCAGCTACCTACTTTCCTCTGGTTTTCTTTCTTTTCCTTTTATTAAATGTGAAAGCAAGTCTTTCTGGACCCTGATTGTTTGTGGCTGGGGTTGGATGGGTAACTTTGGAGAGATCTGAGGATTGGGGAGCACATTTCATACAATTCTAGAATGGAATGATGTGTCTACTATTCTGTCTGTCCCTCTGCACTCTCGACACTTCGGTCCCCAGTAGTGACTCCTGCATGCTTGTGTCCAGGAATAGGAGCATTCAGTGGGGCTGAGGATTCAGGGACCCCATGGCTACTTCCTGTGGCTCCACATAGAAGAGCTGCCTCTCCAAGTTTCAGGTTTGTTCTCTATAAAGGTGCCAAGATGCCACGGGCTCTTCTGGTGCTGAGTTAGGATTGTTAAGAGGAGCTCCACACAGGGGCCATGAGAGATGTTGAAATGTTACTCTCCCAATCACCAGCACAACCAGAGGAAGAAAGATGTCACCCAGATGCCATCACAGAGTGTGTGTGTGTGTGTGTGTACACTGTGTGTGTGTGTGTGTGTGTGTGTGTGTGTGTGTGTGTGTGTGTGTGTGTGTGTGTGAAGTCCACCAGGGCTGGGAGTCAGTCATCTTCCCCTGGAGCTCTGCAGGGGACCTGGTGCACTCATCCTCCGGTATCACTGGATCCTCGCGAGCAGAGCTAAGGTGAGAAGGCTGTGCTGGCCAGGTGTGGGTCCTGCCCTCTTCCTTGCCTTTCTCCGGAGCCTCAGTCATACAGAAATAAGTGACAAAGCACTCAATGGCTGGTGATTCAGAGCCACCCACATGGGCTTAGATCACTTAGGTCATAGCTCAGAATTAAACATTATTTTTTTGGGGGGGGGTCCGGTCGTGGGGCCTGAACTCTGGGCCTGGGTGCTGTCCCTCAGCTCTTCAGCTCAAGGCCAGCGCTCTACCACTTGAGCCACAGCACCACTTCCGGCTTTTTTTCTTTTTGCTTATGTGGTGCTGGGGAATCGAACCCAGGGCCTCATGCATGCAAGGCAAGCGCTCTACCACTGAGCCACCTTCCCAGCCCCAGAATTAAACATTATTAAGCATCCCTCTTCTGAAGTACCTAACCCTTCCAAGCATAGAGACTGCATTCCTCATCAACTCACCTGCTACCATGCCACCATCTGCTGGGCCCCTTCCCCCTACCCTCTTTTTTTTTTTGGTTAGTCCTGGGGCTTGAACTCGGGTAGGCACTGTCCCTGAGCTCTTCAGCTTAAGGTGAATGCCCTACCACTTGAACAGCACCACTACCGGTTTTCTGGTGGTTAATTGGAGATAAGAGTCATGGACTTTCCTCCCCGGGCTGGCTTTGAACCGCAATCCTCAGATCTCAGCTTCCTCAGTAGCTAGGATTACAGGTGTGAGCCACCAGCACCCAGACTCCCACTTTTTTTTTTTTTTTTTTTTTTAATACTGGAGTTTGAACTTAGGGCTCTTTACTTGCTATGCTTACTCTACTACTAAGCCACACTCCCAGCCCTCCCTTGATTTTCTTATTCTGGATGATATTCTGTAGGACTAAAGGCATAAGCCACCAGCACCAGGTTTCCAGATCTTCCTTCATTCTCCAAATACAGATAAAGCACTTAACATTCCCTTGTGGAGATTCACTGTGCTATTTACTATTGTTATGGCAACATGAACCAGCAAAGATCAAGACTGGAGGATAAAGGAGTTTATTGCCAGCAACCCAAACCAGGCTAGTGCCAGAAAGAATTCAGATAGCGACGAAGGGGAGACCCTGGGTTTTATACAAGCTGGTTTCACACACACACACACATACACACACACACACACACACACACACATCCTGCATGCTCTCACCACCACCCAGCCCACCTCACATTTGGTTGTATTTCCCCTCTTGTTTTTTTTTTCTTACACATAATTCCCTGATGTTCTGTCTACCAAGTAACTTGTTGCATCTACAACTTGACTGCTTTCCTCCTTCACAATTATACACAGGTCTCCAGGCTTTCCAAATCTTTTATATGGCATTTATCAGCTGAAGAATGTGTCATTGTATCAGTGTGCCTCAGATGACTTAACTGATGCTCTATCACCAGACATTAAACTTGTTTGCCTTCTTGCTATAGTGAAGTGAGCATAGTTACAATCCCTAGTAACTATGTTCCTGGCAAAGAACTTTCTAGCAAAGGCCATTTTGCCAGAAGGTGGATAGGCGAGGCTGTCCACTGGAATGTGGGATTTGGGCTAACCACATGCGTCTATCTGGATGGATAACAGAAAGCCCACAGACAGAAATTGGACACATGGCCTGCAGTTGATCATCCCTCCTGACCTTTGCCCTTCTGCTACTTTCCACTTTCTATTTCTCCAGGGGGCTGGATTCAGGGTCCTTTAAGTTCGCTTCCTCTTCCCCTTTTGATACCCATCTTCAGCTTCCAACCTTCTCCCAGCCACCTGAGCACATAGAATATTAACTCTTTCTGGACAAGGAAGGAGCCAAGCCCCCTCCCTGACCAGGGAGGCCCCAGGAAGCCCCTGTTGGGTCATGGACACATCAGGAGAGATCATGCAGGAGATTTTCCTCTCCCCACTCCCCCGCCCTATACACACACTACAATATGGACTCTCTAAGCTAGAGAGTCCATCAGGCCACAGATGAGTCCTCACAGTCAGGTATGAGAATCACTGGGTACATCAAAAATGCAGAGTCCTGGGCCTAGGCTTCAGATGGTTTTGGTGGGTGTCTGTAGGGCTTGGAAATTTGAAGGGCTAAGGTACAGTTGGTGTACAACCTACTTCCCCCCTCTCAGCAGAGGATGCAGGAGAATTTCAGGGGGAAGAGTGGGCATGGGGCAGGGGGAGGTGGGGGAAGCAAGGCCTGCCATTGGCTACCTAGGGTGGGACAGGGAGGAGGGGTCCTGGAGGAAACAAAACTCAGCCCAGATCTGCTGAGCCTTGCCTGGCCCTGCTGAGGGTCCACAACTGTGCACCCTGCCCAGGGACATGAAACCACCATGCCCACAGGAAGGGGACCTGGGGAGTTGGGGGAGATGGATCCTGAGGCTGTGGCAAAACTTTCAGGAGAATTAGTACAAATTCAGCCAATCGGCTTTCTGGATGGGCCAGGAGGGCGGGGTTTGAATTACACAGGGATGAACTCTGAGAAGTCCGGCTCCTCCTGAGACATCTGGAGGGCAGGAGCCAAGATCATGTTTCCCTTGGGGTCCTCGGAAGGAGCCTCCTCTTCCTCTGTGGTCTGGAAAAGCAATAGTGGAGGTTAAAAAGCAGAGCCCAGAGGTCGTTTGGGTCTCCAGTCCTTTTCTGCGCTGTCTGTAGGGATGAAGAACTGATAACCCCTTCTCAGAGACCCCAGCTTTGCTTCATGCCAACTCCCAACCCATCCTCTCCTCCCTACCACATCAGAAGAATAGTTTCAGGCCCTCAGGCTAGATTCTGACTATGACTGAAAAATCCTGCCAGGCTAAAGCTCTTTTTGGAGGCAAGTGTCTGACTATGTAGCCCAGACTGACTTCAAATTTGCAATCCTCCTGCCTTAGCCTCCTGAGTGCTGAGATTATAGATATGCACTACCATTCTGGGTCAGCTTGGCTGATATATAGTTTTTTAAGCGGACTGCCAACTAGCAGCTTAAAACTTTCCATTCTTCCTCCCTCCCTCCTTCCCTCCCTCCTTTCTTTCTTTCTTTCCTTTTTTCTTTCTTTCTTTCTTTTTTTCTTTCTTTCCTTTCCTTTCCTTTCATGTGTGCTAACACTGGAGCTTGAACTCAGGTCCTCTCACTGGGCTTTCTCACCTAGAGTTGGTACTCTACCACTTGAACTACACCTTCCAGCTTTTTTCAGTTTTTGTTTTTGTTATTTTTTGCACTGGTCCTGGGACTTGAACTCAAGGCCTGGGCACTGTGCTGAGATTCTTTTTTTCAAGGCTAATGCTTTACTATTTGAGCAACAGCACCATTTCTAGCCTTTTATGTGATACTAAGGAATTGTATCCAAGGCTTCATGCATCCTAGGCAAGCACTCTACCACTAAGCCACATTCCCAGCCCTTAGGCTAACTTTGAACCATGATTCTAAGATCTCAGCCTCCAGAGTAGCTAGGATTATAGAAGTGAGCCACCAGCAGCCAGTGCTTACAGCTTTCTGGTTGGTTAATTGGAGAAAATCTCACAGCCACGTGCTGATGGCCCACACCTGTAATCCTAGCTACTTAGGAGGCTGAGATCTGAGGATTAAGGTTCAAAGCTAGTGCAGGAAAGTCTATGAGACCTCTATCTCCAATTAACCACCAGAAAACTGGAAGTAGAACTGTGGCTCAAAGTGATAAGAGTGCTGGCCTTGAGCAAAAATGTTTAGGGACAGGGCCCAGGCCCTGAATTCAAGCCCCATGATCAACAAATAAAAAAAAGACTCTTATAGACTTTCCTGCCAGAGCTGGCTTTGAACTGTGATCCTCAGATCTCAGCCTCCTGAGTAGCTAGGATTACAGGCTTGAGCCACCAGCACGTGGCTAAAAATTTTCTAAATAGGAAAAAAAAAAAAAAAAGGATGTGACCAAGAGCTCTGGTTGTCCGGGTGAAATGGGCCTGTGCTATGACGAGGTAGATGGGCCAATGTAGGAGTGTGGAGTTTGGAGAAAGGTTGCAGAGGAAAGATCCCTCTTCTCCATCCCTTCATTGCCCATGTGGATTCTGGGCCCTTCTGTCCACACCTGTCTGAGGCTCTGGATCTCCTTGCAGGGGCTGGCAGAGGGCTCTGGTTTGTCATCAGGCCTGATTGGCCCTGCGAGGCTGATCATGGCATCCTCAGGGGCCCAGCCGTTCCCCAACGCCTGTAAGAGACACTTATCAGAACAGTCTGTTCTTGGTAGCAGACATGGTCTGGGAGCCAAAAGAGGAGTAGCCAGTGGGTTGGAGTGGGGAAGGGAGGAGGGAGAGAACTAGGTAGGGCAGGGGTGAGAGGAAGGATATAGCTCCAAGGCCACTTTGTGACTTCCTATACCTCGTGTGACCATGGACAAGCTAACTCTCAAAAGCTGTTTCCTCAGCTGTTAAATGGGGATGTGAAGTTTTTCCCTCAGGATTATAATCGATCTATAGATAGCATCTTATAGCAACCTGTGAGAACTTCTGGGATGACTGGCTTGCTTTCGGTATGGTGTTTGTTTTAAACTCTAAAGCAGGAAGAAAAACAGGAGGGCTTGGAGACAGCAAAGCTGGTCATCCCACATTCAAGGACCAAGGCTACTGTTTTCTTCTTTCTTTTTGGTCAGTCATGGGGCTTGGACTCAGGGCCTGGGCGCTGTCCCTGAGCTCTTTTGTTCAAGGCTAGCACTCTACCATTTTGAACCACAGCTCCACTTCTGTTAATTAACCAATTCTGGTTAATTGGAGATGAGAATCTCATGGACTTTCCTGCCAGGACTGGCTTTGAACTGCAATCCTCAGATCTCAGCCTCCTGAGTAACTAGGATTTCAGGCATGAGGCACCAGTGCCCAGTTTTTTCTCTGTTTCTGTTTCTGTCTCTGTGTCTGTGTCTGTCTGTCTGTCTGTTTCTCTTTTCTTGCTAATGTTTGAGTCTCATACTTGCTAGGCAGGTGATCTACTGCAGAGTCACACTTCCAGTCCTGTTTATTTTTTGCCAGTCCTGGAGCTTGAACTCTGCTTTTGGTCTACCACCTGAGCCACAGTGTCACTTCTGGCTTTTTCTGTTTATGCAATACTGAGGAATCAGACCCAGGGTTTCATGCATGTTAGGCAAGCACTCTACCACTAATCTACATTCCCAGCCCTTGATGGTTATTTTTTATATAGGATCTCACTTTCTTCCCTCGAATATGCCTGGACTATGATCCACCTAATTTCAGCTTCCCGTAATTGCTTCCTACATCTAGTTTCCCTCTGTTGAGATGATGACCCAAGGATTTTTTTGGGGGGTAGAGGGGGTTAGGGCTGGCTGGCCTATAGCTTTTTTTTTTTGCCAGTCCTGGGGCTTGAACTCAGGGCCTGGCACTGTCCCTGAGCTTCTTTTGCTCAAAGACTCTATCACTGAAACGCCAGCACCATGTCCAGCATTTTCTGTTTATGTGGTACTGAGGAATCAAACCCACGGCTTCATGCATGCTCGGCAAGCACTCTACCACTAAGCCACATTCTCAGCCCTTGGCCTGTAACTTTGGTCTTCTCAATTTCAACTTCCCACATAGTATAGGAGGACAGGTATGCCCCCACTGTGCCCAGCTATGGGTTGAGAAGGGATCTCTACACTGGCTCCCACCTTAAGGCTCCATTTCCGCCCCCCTCGGTTGTGGGGCCTGAACTCTGGGCCTGGGCACTGTCCCTCAGCTCTTCAGCTCAAGGCTAGTGCTCTCCCACTTGAGCCAAAACACCACTTCTGGCTTTTTCTGCTTATGTGGTGCTGAGGAACTGAACCCAGGGCCTCATGCATGCAATGCAAGCGCTCTACCACTGAGCCACCTTCCCAGCCCCAAGGCTCCATTCTTGCAGACAAAGTAAAGCATCTCTTTCCCTCTCTGCACTGAATGTGAGATAAGAAAACCTTCAAGCCTTCCTTTCTGCTTCTAGCCTTGGCTGAAAGCCATCAGAAAACCAGCAAGGGACATAAACCAGGAAAAGCAAACACTCTCAGCTGATCATGACTCTGGCCTTTAGGGGCTCCCTGTCCCTTGCTTTCCTCCCAAAGGGGGTCTTTGCCCATGGGCCCAGGGCCTTTATATGTCCTCCAACTGCTACAGGATTCTCAGACAGAAGTCCAGGGCAGCCTTGTCTCCCAAAGGCTGTGGGGTGGGGAAGGAGGAGGACCCATGACCAGCTGGAACACAAGCCCTCTTCTTATGAGCCCAGGCCTTGCACCACAGCCAGGGGGTGGGGCTTGGAGAGTAATGAGCGGTGGCCAGAAGGCCTGCCTCCACGACTCTGTGACTTTTCCCTTACTCCCCTCGGCCACCTTTGGCCACCTTTGGCCTTGTCCGGCTTCCTAAGACAACAACAGCTGCTTCCTAAGTTATAGAAGAGCCCATTCCCATCCCAGCTCTCCCTAGTGGGATCAAGCCTTTTGTCCTCATTGGCGCCAGGAAAGAAAGAAATGGTAGCTTTCCTGGCTTGGTATTTGGAGGAGTCAGTCAGAAAATAGCCAGGGAACGTTGCTGGGAGGGGATGGTGGGGTAGAACCAGGTTCGCTAGCCTTCTCCCCATCTTAGGTGAGTGGATATGGGAGGAGCATCTCCTGCAGAGGCCAGGGAGGGTCCCGGAGCAGGTAGTTTGGGTAGGTTCTACCCCATGGAAGATGGGCACTCTTTCTGCCCCTGCTCCTTAAAGCACTGCCCTGAGCATGGGTTCCAGGGAAACTATGCCACTGTGGTCTCAGCCAAGGAAACTCAGAAACAACAAGTGTTCTAGAAAGAGAAGAAGGTGGAATCTAGGTCCATGGATGAATGCTGGTGACTCATACCTGTAATCCTAGCTACTCAGGAGGCTGAGATCTGAGGATTGTGGTTCCAAACCAGCCCAGGCAGCAAAGTTCAAGAGATTCTTTTTTATTTTTTTGTCGGTCATGGGGCCTGAACTCTGGGCCTGGGCATTGTCCCTCAGCTCTTAAGCTCAAGGCTAGCACTCTACCACTTGAGCCACAGTGCCACTTTCATTTTTCTGTTTATGTGGTGCTGAGGAATTGAACCCAGGGCCTCATACATGCGAGGCAAGCACTCTACCACTGAGCCACCTTCCCAGCCCCAAGAGACTCATCTCCAACTAACCAACAGAAAGCCAGAGGTATGGCTCAAGTTGTAGAGCGCCAGCCTTGAGTAGTTAAGGTATAGCACCTAAGCCCTGAGTTCAAGCCCCAGTACTGACAAACACACACACACACACACACACACATAAAGAAAAGTGTAGGGCCAACTGTCTATTTGGGCTACCACCTGGGTGACCTTGAACAACATCTTAAAGCTATACTTTGGGCCTCAGTTTCTTCTTTTGCTAAAGCACTCTCAGATTTGCAACTGCCTGAAGCGTTACACTCCACGGTCAAGGTCTTGGGGCCCCAGCCTGGGTTCTGAGGGGTTGGTTGGGACTAGTATGGGGCAGAGCTTATTTCTAACAGATAACATTCACCCCAGGTGCTGCCAGGTACGAGGGCTTTGAAGTGAGATCAGAGAAAGAGTAGGCCAGGTCATCTCCAATGCTCCTTCTGGACCCAGTGCTCATGTCCTGATTCTAATGGGAGGATAGGAAGAAGGATGGGGAAGAATGCAGCCCATGCTCCCGCATGGCCCCTAGTGCAAAGTTGGGGGGTGAAGGACCTCTCTGTCTGGCTTGTACCCTGAAGGCCTTACGCTGGCCTAGGGCCTCATAGAGCCTTTGGATCACACAGGACCAGAGGCAGGCAGAGCCCAGAGTCCTTCAGTCCCTCTATGCTTACCGAGCCTGGAAGGTAGACCTTCTCATCCTTCTGTTCATTTTTCTGTGTTTCCATGGCCAGCTGAGCTGAAAGAGACCCAGAAAGAACATCCTGAGGCTGGGAGCAGCCAGTTGTGGACAGCAGCCCCTCTCATAGTTCAGTGATCCCTCATGCTTTCCAGCTGAGGCTTCTAGAGGGAGCTGCAGGTTGGTGGAGTAGGAAGCCCCTTGTAGCTCAGTCCCTACAATCTCATTGGAGATTGTCTCTGGTGAGCCAGAAAGTAGTGGGGGAAACAGTCTCTATAGGAATGTGGTTGCTTCTCAAACTTAAAGGTGTTTGGACCTTTTCCAGTGTGTGTGTGTGCATGTGTGTGTGTGCGTGTGCATGTGTGCATGCGTGTGCCAGTAATGGGACTTGAACTCAGGGTCCCACACTCTCTCTTGGCCTTTTTGCTCAAGGCTGGCACTCTACCACTTGAGCTAGACCTCTTCTTTGTGGGTTTTTTTTTTTTTTTTTGCTGGTTAATTGGAGATAAAAGTCTCACAGACTTGTCTGCTCAAGCTGGCTTTGAACTGTAATCCTCAGATCTCAGCCTCTTAAGTAGCTAGGATTACAGGTGTAAGCCACTAACACCCAACAATTTATTGATTTATTATTATTATTATTGTCGGTCGTGGGGCTTGAATCTGGGCCTGGACACTGTTCCTCAGCTTTTCAGCTCAAGGCTAGCACTCCACCACTTGAGCCACAGTGCCACATCTGGTATTCTGGTAGTTAATTGGAGATAAGAGTCTCACAGACTTTTCTGCTTGGGTTGGCTTTGAACTGCGATCCTCAGATCTCAGCCTCCTGAGTAGCTAGGATTACAGGTGTGAGCCACTGGCACCCAGCTATTATAATTTTTTGAGATAATATTTTGCTACGTTGTCTGGGATATCTCAAGCTGCCAGGCTTAATGGATCTTCTTGAATCAGCCTCCAAAGTAGCTAAAACCAGAGAAACCCACCCCAGTCCCCAGCTTCCTTTGATATTTTGATATTGATTCCACATGGAGTTGATCATATTTTGGATATACCGAGTTAAAAAAGGTATACTATCAAAATTAACTTCATGAGTTTCTTCTTATGCTTTATCATGTAACTACTAGGAAAAAAATTCAAGTATATGTGTGGCTTGTATTCTATTTCCATTTGACACACATCTGTCATTGAGAACCTGAGGCTCAGAGTAGTTGGTGCCTTGCTTAAAGTCAAACAGCTAAAATGTAATAGAGCTGGAATTGGAACCCAAGCTTCTGAATGGGACTGAGCACCTCTAAAGACTCAATGTCCATCCTGTTCAATGATACCCTGGTCTTAAATGTCCCTTTGCCAGTCCCCACATAGAAGCTTGACCTGCAGAGACTGGACAAGAACTTGGTGACTTAATAGGACAGCAAGAAAAATGACCACTGGTCTGCCTGCCCCCTCGCTCACCTTTCTTTTTTTTAATACGTTTTTTATTGTAAAAATACTGTACAGAGGGGTTACAGTTACACGAGCAAGGTAATGAGTACATTTCCTATCAAGCATTGTTGCCTCCTCCTTTGTTTTTCCTCTCCCATCCCTTCCCTCCCACCTCCACAACGACACTCCCCACCCCACACCTAAATTGTAAAGCTCATTTTTCAACATAGTGTCTTGTGCATCTCATTGTGACAATGGGTCAACCTGTATCCCTATTTAAACATTTTGTTTTTTTTTCCTTCCCCTCCCCAAATGAGAGAAGTGTATATACAAGATGCAGGGCACCAACATCAAATACAGTGAAAACAGGGGTTTTATTGTGGGGGAGAAACATACAAAGAAACAAAAAAAAATCACATGGTACATTGTAAACATGTTAGAAACAAAAGCCAGCAAGAAAAAACCACTCGTGTCCCTATCTTGGGGCCTCACTCACCTTTCTTTCTCCACTGGAAGATATGGCTGCCGAAGGCAATGAGGCCCGTGGCCAGCAGAAGTGACAAGATCACCAGGACTGGAGCCAACTTACGAACCATTGGGATGGTCACACTGTGGGGGCAAGATGGAAGGAGCCTGGTGTTCAAAGCCATCTAGGAAAATCTGTGAGACTCATCTTTAACCACCAAAAAGCTGGAAGTAGGACTGTGACTCAAATGGTAGAGTGCTAGCCTTGAGCCAAAGAAACTCAGAGACAGTGCTCAGGCCCTTACTTCAAGCTCCAGCTCCAGGACTGTCTTTCACACACACACACACACACACACACACACACACACACACACACACACACACACACACTATCATGTACAGACAAGCTGGGTGTCTGTGGCCCACACCTGTAATTTTTTTTGGGGGGGGGCCTGAACTCTGGGCCTGGGCGCTGTCCCTCAGCTCTTCAGCTCAAGGCTAGTGCTCTACCACTTGAGCCACAGCACCACTTCCGGCTTTTTCTGCTTATGTGATGCTTAGGAATTGAACCCAAAGTCTCATGCATGCAAGGCAAGCACTCTACCACTGAGACACCTTCCTAGCCTGACACACCTGTAATCTTAGCTACTCAGGGGACCAAGATCTGAGGATGGTGGTTTACAGTCAGCCTAGGCAAAGAAATTCCTGAGACTCTTTATCTCCAGCAAAAAATCAGAAATGGAGCTATGGCTGGAGTGGTAGAGTACTGGACTTGGGGAAAAACAAAACAAAATAAAACTCAGGGAAAGCACCCAGGTTCTAAGTCCAAGCCCTACCTAGTTCTTGTGTGCATGTTCTCTCTCTCTCTCTCTCTCTCCTTCTCTCTCTCTCTCTCTCTCTCTCTCTCTCTCACACACACACACACACACACACACATACAGAGTATAGGCTACAGCTGAGAGAGGTAGGTTCTAGGGCCAGGTGGACCCTTCACCTCTGGTGGGCCTGTGTGTACCAGAAAGCTGGCTCTTGTAGTATGGAATGTATACTGTTCAAAGGCCTCTACAGAGAAATGGGGCTGAAATCTACCCTTTATGCAGATGGTGGCTATGACAAAGGCTTGTTTGCTTGGGAGAATGAGTATTAGGGTCAATGTGTGTGTGTGTGTGTGATGGTTAGGGATTGCATTCTTGCTTGGCTTTCTTGTATGGCTGATGTTCTGCTACTCGAGCCACATCTCCAGTCCAGCTTTTTGCTGGTGAATTTGTGATGGAGTCTCGTAGACTTTTTTGCCTAGGCTGGTTTCACACCTCAATCCTCCCGGTCTCAGCCTCCCAAGTAGCTAGGTATCTGGTGAGTTTCAGGTCTTATTGGCTCAAAGGCACTTTAGTATGGCTGATCACCTGTGCTTGCTCACCTGTGCTTGGAGCGGCTGCCGCTGGGGACAGGATTGGTGTCCTCAGCTGTGGTGGAGTCCACCAGGATGGCTGGATGGGAACTCCCTGCATGGGGAGAGGTCGTTGTATGAGGAGAGGTCTCTGCCTGTGGAGAGGTTCCTGGGTAGGGGGAGGGTGTTGCAGGCCATTTTGGGGCCACCCCTGTGGACGGTGTGGCCTCGATCCCTGTTTTCCCCTGCTTGACTGTGGTGATTGTCGGGCGGAGATCAGAAGACACTACAAGTCCAAAAGCAATGCCTCAGCACCCTCACGGGTCCCCCAGCCCCGCCTCCCCCCCCCCCCCCCCCCCCCGCTGTGACCCTAGAACTTTAGCTTCCCCAGGACCAATTTCTCAGATCATTGTCAGCTAAAGGACCAACCCTAAGCAATCAAGCAGAGGCCTAGGTGAGGCCCTTGTGAGCAAGCAGGTCACCAATTAGGTACCTCCATGCATAGTTTTAGCTTCTTTCTGTGCAACTTCTGCAACCCTCACCCCCACCCCCGCCACCTACAAGAAGCCCACCTACCAACCACTTTCAAACATTCAGGACCTGGCAGGGCAAGGTTGTAAGGATGCATTTAAAGGTCAGGGCCCAAGGTCAGACTTTGTGGCTCAGCCTAGATCCTGGATGGAGCAGAGTGAGGATGAGCTTTGAGGTCAGCCTCTGGTCCCTTCCTGGCTCTTCCCATGTGACCTGAAGCAAGCACGCTCACTCCCGGAGCCTCTGCTTCCTCAGCTTAGCAGGCTGGCTCCCAGGTTTATTGGGGAGCACCTGACTGGTGATAAAACCCCATGGCAGGTATCAGGTAGATACTCATTATGATGTTTCCTGAAGTAGTGGGGGAGAAGGGACTGAAAAACCATTCACTCAATTCTTGGGGCTGAGTACGCCAACCTTTTGACTTGGGCTGTGGGCGCTGCAGGCTCCGTACAGCGATAAGAGGCTGGAAGGAGGGAGTGGGAGGTGGACAGCAGTGGCCAGTGGTACTGGCGCTGCCCCGATTTCCTAGAGGAAAGGGAGAGGCTGTTCTCAGGGGAGGCAGGAGACATAGGGGCAATCACTGGTCCTACCTGGGAGCAGCTCCTGCTTTCCTCCCAGAGGTTATGGCTGATTCTGAGTCCTCCCCCACTGTACTCTCTTGGCTTCCCATTACTTCAGATTTCTTGTGACCCTCAACTGCCCATCAACCAGCTCCTTCCAGGCCATCCTACCTACAGATATCCTTCCTTTCTTCCTTCTCTTCTTTCCCTTCCCTCCCTCCCTCCCCCACCCTCCCTCCTTCCCTCCCTCCCTTTCTCCCTTCCTTCCTTCCTTCCTTCCCTCCCCTCCTTCCTTCCTTCCTTCCTTCCTTCCTTCCTTCTTTCCTTCCCTTTTCTTTTTCTTTTTCATTTTGTGCTAGTACTGGGCTTCACCTCAATGCCTTATGCTCTCACTTGCCTTTTCCACTTGAGGCTGGCACTAGACCACTTGAGCCACAGCTTCACTTCCAGCTTTTTGGGGATTTTTTGGAGATGAAAGAGGCTCATGGACTTTCCTGCTAGGGCTGGCTTCAAATCATGGTCCTCAGATCTCAACTTTCTGGGGTAGCTTGGATTACAGGCATGAATCACCAGCACTTGACCTACTGCAATCATTTCTTTGCTGGCTCTTTTGCCAGGCTGGGAATGCCTCAAGGGCACAAAGCCTGTCCTCTGCCCAGCATGATAGACAGAAACCTGGCTACCCCTTGAAGCTGCCCAGTTCCCCCATGGCTATCAGCAACTCCTTCAGTCTTTCCTAGCCACAGCCAGGCTAGAACATCCCCTTCCCTCCCTCCCTCCCTCCTTCCCTCCCTCCCTCTCTTTCTTTCTCTCTCTCTCTCTTTCTTTCTTTCTCTCTCTCTCTTTCTTTCTTTCTTTCCTGGTCCCAGGGTTTTTTCACTCAAGGCTAGTGCTCTGCCGGGCACTGGTGGCTCACGCCTGTAATCCTAACTACTCAGGAGGCTGAGATCTGAGGATCATGATTCAAAGCCAGCCCAAGCAGGAAAGTCTGTGAGACTCTTATCTCCAGTTAACCACCAGAAATCTAGAAGTGGCGCTGTGGCTCAAGTGGTAGGGCACTCACCTTGAGCTCAAAAGCTGAGGGACAGTGCCCAAGCCCAGAGTTCAAACCCCATGACCGACCAAAAAAAAAAAAAAAAGACTAGTGCTCTACCACTTGAGCTACACTTCACTTCCAGCTTAATGGTGGTTAATTGGAGATAAGAGTCTCATGGATTTAACTGTCCCAGCTGGTTTTGAATCATGATCCTCAGATCCCAGCTTCCTGAATCACTAGGATTACAAGGATGAGCCACTCATGCCTGGCTAGCTTTCCCATTCTCTATTCTAATACACACTCACTTTCTTATTGGTTTTTTTCTAAGTAGATAACAAAAACCTTCTGCAAATGAAGAGTATCTTTTACTCTTCAGCTCTCTAATTCTCCATTTTGTCCTTTTTCATTGCCTAGCCTCTCCAAACAAGGATGAAGAAAGAAATGATAATAGAGACAGTTGTCTTGTCTGGACCTTTCTAGAAATTCTTCTAGATGTTTAAATGCTAGAGATAGCTCCCATTGGCTAAGGCAAGTGGATTTTCTCAGGAATTTGGAGAGCTGATTGTTTTAAACCATTGGTTTAACTGGCCACAGGACCAACTATATCACAGAAAAAGACAACTGCAACAAATCCGTGTCCCCAGCCTGCTGCCAACCATCTAGCAGCACAGCCATCCGCCTTCCTCATTTTCAGTGGCTCAGCTGTCATCAGAGAGAGGCCAGCAAGGTTAGACATGGGAAGGCAGGAAAGCATGTATCACACACAGCATTGAACAGGGGAGAACCACAAACACAGGTACAATCGATCCAGCTAGGCGTAAATGACAGGTGGGCACTGATAAGAAATGGAAGAGCCTGGAGAATCTTATAGATGAGAGAGGACATATTTTCTATATGTGTTTTTTTCCCTTAAAAAAAAGATGGATCCCAGGGCCTTTCACATACTAGGCAGCCAGCATTCCTCCACTGAGCTATATCTCCTCCCCATCCATGTGTTTTTGATGCTGCAGTTATTGTTCAGTGAATTTAACTTTATTCTCCTGAGCCATGGCTAGATGCTGGGGGCTCACGCCTGTAATCTTAGCTTGTCAGGAGACTGAGATCTGATGATAGAGGTTCAAAGCCAGTCTGAGACTCTTATCTCCAATTGACCACCAAAAAAAAAAAAAAAAGCCAGAAGTGGAGCTGTGTTCAAGTGGAAGAGTGCTAGCTTTGAGCACAAAAGCTCAGGTACAGCACCCAGGCCCTGAGTTCAAGCCCTAGGACTGGCAATAATATATAAAATAAAATAAAGAGCCATGGATGAATGGAAGCACTCTGGCTCTGAGGCTGGGCCTGAGGCTGGATGGTTTCAGTTCTGGGCCTGAGAAGGGAATAAACAGAGCCAAAGTTGTCAGTGCTCTGCTGTTATGGTATTGTTTTGTTTTGTTTTAATGTTCCAGTACTGGCACTTGAACTCAGGGCCTGGGTACTGTTTCTTAGTGCTTTTTTTTTTAAGCTGGAGCTCTATCACTTGAATTCCATATCTACTTCTACTTTTTGCTGCTTAATTGGAGATAAGAGTCTCTGAGACTTGTCTGCTAGGGCTGGCTTCAAACTGTGATCTTCAGATGTCAGCCTCCTGTGTAGCTAGGATTATAGGCATTGAGCCACCAGTGCCAGGCAATGACTTGCATTTGAATCCTTGCTCTACCACTTCCTGCCATGAGACCTCAGGTAAATCACTGAGTTTCCTAGGCTTGGTGCCCCATCTGTGAAATGAGGGTAAGACCTCCCTTGCATTTGCCAATCAGAAAACCCACTGTCCTGGCCTGCTGTGGCTTCTCAGCTACAAATGGGGTTCCCAGTTCCCAGGAGATGCTCTATCCCCAGCCCCTAGAATCCTCATGTCCTCCCCAAATGGCTGGCTCCTAGACACACCTAGCACTAAAGCCACCAGCAGAAGGAACCACATGGTTATGGCTTAGGTGACACTGTGGGCTGGCTCTGGGATGCAGCCTCAGGGGAGCCCAGGAAATCTTGGCCCCAGGAAAGAGAAAGAGAGAAACAGATAGACAGACAGACAGACAGACAGACAGACAAAGACAGAGAAAGAAACAGACAGAGAGACATGCACGGGGGGGGGGGGGGGAAGAGAGGGAGGGAGGGAGGGATGGGAGGGAGGGAGGGAGAGAGAGAGAGAGAGAGAGAGAGAGAGAGAGAGAGTCAGTCTGTGCATCTGTTTGTCCTTATTCCCCTTGGGATGTCTATCTTGTCCCCAGATCCTCCAGTGTACCTGATCACAGAGGAAAGGCGCTGAGCGGAACCTGACAGGTTGGCGGTGCATCCACTCTGTTGTGTGTCAGTGGTATGATGGGGGTAGCTGAGACTCAGCTGGCACTGTCTGTGGTCCCAATGATGTTCAGTACCTGACCCCTAGTGACCTCACTGTGACTTCAAGATACTTGTGAGGCTGGAACGGAAAACTGAGCTCATGGCAGGTGCCCTAATTTCCCCTCTACCTCACCTCTCTTCCGGGAAGGGGGAATACGGTACCTGGAAAGACAATCAGCGTCACCTCAAAAATCTTATCGGGGCCCAGGATGTTGACACCACACCAGTATTTCCCAGTATCTTCCAGGGTGAGGTGCTTCACTGTCACTGTGAACGCGAGCTCTTGGGGGCTGTCCCGGATGGACAACCTGTCCTGTGTCACCTCCTGGTCACCTCTGGTGTAGATGGTGTTCGAGCAGCGGGAGATCAGGAGCCCGCCCTGCTTGCACCAGTATTTCCCATGCTTTATCCACTCTTGGCTGTAGGTACATCTCACAGCCAGGGTGTCGCCTTCAAAGCCGCTTATCTCTTTCGGGCCCTTCATGGCTCCATTACCTGAAACTACAGCAGGATTGGAGGTGAGAATTCCCCGACCCGAGTCTCAAGCTTAAGACTAGAAGTTTCCATTTTACTAAGATGAAGGAAGGCTTTCTTGTCAGCCCTTCCGGGGGCGTCCCTAGGATCCAGTATGCTCCCCACCTAGTAGGGCTATTGCTCTTTCTCTAAACTGCCTCTCTACCGGGGTGGGGGACAGCTGGGAGTTTCAATCCAAGAATTGCCATTTAGTACCTGTGTGACCTTGGAGAAGTTGCTTAACTTGTCTGGGCCTCTGAGTCTTCTTATTTATACTTGATGGTAATATTGTTTCATTGCTTTTAAAAGGCTACTATAGGCAAACCACATCATAATTTTATGATCCACTAAGAAAAAAATCCACTATCAAGTGAATATTAGTTAGAAGGTACATCCTGATTTTAGGTGTTAAAGATAAAGAAAGAAAAGAAATGTGGAGAGCTGGGATGCTCTCTGTTTTGTATTTTTTTTTAAATGCTTCATGCCTGTAATGCTGGCTATTTGAAAGGCTGGGATCTGAAGATCATGGTTTGAAACCAGACTAGGCAGAAATATTGAAAAGACTCACCTCCAATTAACCAGCACAGAAGTAGGGACATGTAGCTCAAGTGGCAGAGCACCAGCCATGTGAAAAGCAAAACAAAACAGAAAAGCAAAAGAAAAAAAAGCTAAGGGAGAATGCAAGGCACTGAGTTCAAGTTCCCATGCGCACGCGCATGCACACGCACACACACACACACACACACACACACACACACACACACTGAGCTGGCCTGTGAGTTGATAGAACATGGTAGTCCTTTATCTCTCAGGTTGTTGGGAGTGGCAGAGCAGAGATTCAACAAAGGTTTTCTCCTCTCTACCAGAGCCCCATGTCCCTCCCGCCACCTGCTGCCACCTCACCTGGTAGCACCAGACATGCCCACAGCAGAACCAGCCCCTGCATGGTGTGTGCAGAACAGATGCTGCCTGCAGCTGGGAGCTCTTCTCTGAGCCTCGAGCCTCTGATCATTTAGCTTCCTGAAAAAGCCCCAGATCAGGACGAGGAAGGGAGAGGAGGGGTCACGAGTCATCCCTCTGCAAACCCAGCCAGGAAGGCGCCTCTGCCCTTCCCTTTGCTTAATAACCCTTTGCTTAATAATACCGCCTCAGCCTGCCAATCACACCAGTGCTTCCAGGAGCTTAAACTGTGGTTTGGGCACCCCCATGGGGTCTGTAGGTAGAATTCAGGGAGTCTATATACTTGGATGTGGGGAGGGATGACATATTTGACCTTCAGAAAAAAATGACATATTGACCTTCAGAAGCCTCTGATATTTAGATTTTCCTTCCTTTTTTTCTTTTCTTTCTTTCTTTTTTTTTGGTCAGTTGTGGGCTTGAACTCTGGGCCTGGGTCCTGTCCCTCAGTTTAGTGCTCTACACTTGAGCCACAGCACCATTTCCTGGATTTTCCTCCTATTAGGAGTGTGGGGTTAGTGGAACTGTAACTGTTTGCCAACAAAAGTGGCAGATCTTGGCGATGCAGCTGTTGCTAATATCCAGAAATACCTACTTGGAAACTTAGGTCTTACCTATAGCAGTTAGCTATTATAGTGTTTAACCAAGAAGCTTGTTTACTTATTACGATGTTGTAAAATTGTATGTTTTTGGATAACCGTCTCATTATGCTTAAGTGTATGTTTATATATGTGTATGTGTGTGTGTATGTGTGTGTGTAATGGTCCATATATATAAAGGAATATGGCGCGCGCGCACACACACACACACACACACACACATATATACACACACACATATGTGTGTGTATGTGTATGTGTAATGGCGTATTAATCTAGGTGATGGACAATAGTACCGGGTCTAGGACCCGGCCTATTCCATAGTCCCAGAGTCGCAGTACCTCCTTTGGCCACCGGGTGGCGGTACAAGCAGGGCTGAGATGAGTCTGGCTCCTGGTGCTGCCAGGATGGTTCCCTGGGATTTCTTGCTGCTTGAAACAGCAAATCAGTGGTTGATTTCTCACAGCAAATTTCAATCCTCCTTAAGGAACAAAATCAACACACACACACTAGGTGGAGCTCTGGCACAATTTTGTTTTCCAAAATAGAGAGCTTTTTTCCCCCCACCCTCACTGCGAAGTTGATACATGTTGTAAGCAATTTTTTATGCTTTAGAAAACCTCCAATACTATGTTGACACAATTCCTTCCAGTTGGAATTTTACCCAGCAAGGGAGAGGATTAATATTTGAAACATCAATTCAAGGGCTGTGGAAAGGAAGGTGTGACTCCAGTGAGGTAGGGATTTTGATTTCTCCATGATTGACAGTTGGTCGGTATTGCTGAGTAAGGAGCATGATTGTTGTATCCATAAAAAACCCTGTTACTGCTGGGCGTCGGTGGCTCACACCTGTAATCCTAGCTACTCAAGAGGCTGTGATCTGAGTATCACAGTTCAAAGCCAGCTCAAGCAGTAAAGTCTGGGATACTCTTAATTCCAATTAACCACCAGAAAACTGGAAGTGGCACTGTGGCTTAAGTGGTAGCACGCTAGCCTTGAGCTGAAGAGCTGAGGGACTGTGCCAGGCCCAGAGTTCAAGCCCCACAACTGACAAAACAACAACAATAAAACCCAGAAATCCTGTTACCTTATCTCAGCCCAGGACCTGACTTTCATTTATGTGTACAGACTACACAGAAGGCAATGTTTTTGTTTTTGTTGGTCATAGGGCTTGAACTCAGGTCCTGGGTGCTGTCCCTGAGCTCTTTTGCTCAAGGATAGCACTCTACAACTTTGAGCCACAGCTCCACTTCAGGTTTTCTGGTGGCAAATTGGATGTAAGAGTATTATGGACATGCCTGTAACTGTACCACTCAGAGCTCAGCCTCCTGAGTATTTAGGATTATAGGTGTGAGCCACTGGCACCATGTGCATTTTAAAAATTTTATTTTACTTTTGGTTCCAGTACTGGTGCTTGAACTAAGGGGATCACACTTTCTTTCACCCCAGGCTGGTGCTCTACTGCTTCAGTCATATCTCCTGCTCCAGCTTTTTCCTGTTAATTGGAAATAAGAGCCTCAGGGATTTGCCCAATCTGGCTTTGAATTGTGATCCTCAGATCTTAGTCTCTTGAGTAGGTTGGATTATATATTGGCAATTGGTTTTTGCACTTTGAAGAAGACTGTAGACTGCTTCATAGTCTGTTTCTAATCCTTTATTACTCCTGTCACAGAATAATTTTTATTTAATTTTTTATTGTTATTATAAAGGTGATGTACAAAGGGGTTACAGCTACATACGTCAGATAAAGAGTACATTTCTTTTTGGGCAATGTCACTGCTTCCCTCATTCTCCGTTTCTCTCTCCTATCCCCACCCACAAGTTGTATAGTTCATTTTCAGCATAGTGTCTAGCGAGTACCACTTCTCCAGAAAAATTTTAATCTACTTTCCAGAAAGCCTAATGTATTAATTATAAGTCCAGGTAGGATTGACATTTGATTATGTTGTTGAGTGTTATGAGGCCTGAGCATTGACGTTTTGAAATATATGCCCTTTGGTTTTCCTTTTTAGTTTTTCTTTCTACTCCAGCTTGGGAATTGTGTTGTGATTTAAAGAAATTAAGTGTGAGAGGTCATATTAGTTAGGACTGTCATTTCTGGAGAATACAGGTGAGAGCAAATGCTTGTTCATATGAAGAGAATGCCACCCCTGTCCCTTCTTGAATATCTGAAGCTCCTTGCCCTCTGTTCTACCAGCTCCCATATAGCACAGCAGCTGGGCTACAGATCCTTAGCCAGGTGCTGGAGTCTCATGCCTGTAATCCTAGATACTCAGAAGGCTGAGATCTGAGGATTGCAGATTGAAGCCTTCCCAGGCAGGAAAGTCCATGAGACTCTTATCTCCAATTAACCCCCAGAAAACTGGAAGTGGGACTGTGGCTTAAAGTGGTAGAGTTCTAGCCTTGAGTGAAAAAGCTCAGGGATAATGCCCAGGCTCTGAGTTCAAGCCCTATGACAAAGGAAAAAGAAAGAAAGAAAGAAAGAAAGAAAGAAAGAAAGAAAGAAAGAAGAAGGAAGGAAGGAAGGAAGGAAGGAAGGAAGGAAGGAAGGAAGGAAAGAAAAAGAAAGAAAGAAAGAAAAGGAGGGAGGGAAGGAGGGAAGAAAACCAAATTCTCCTGGGTAGGAGTGGATAAAGCACTAGGGTGAAGGGTGGGGTGCTGGTATGGCTTCTGCACCTGTTTCTACCCTTGGATCATATCTTAAGACTGTTGGGGGCTCATGGATAGACCCTGTGCTGGATTTGGGGATCTGAGATGGGAGAACACTTATGACCTGCATCCTACCCAGAGCCCTGGGAGGTGTCCTGTCATCACTGCATTGGGGGTACAGGAGGACAGGGGAAGCCAGAAGGGCCTCATTTGTCTCCACACAAAAGACTCTGTGAGGTACATTATTGTTTAACAATACCACATGTGTGGACCATGATATAGTTTGGATATCAAGTATCTTCCCAAAGGCTGGTGTGCTGAATGCTTGGTTCTCCAGATGGTGATGTTGTTGAGAGCTGATCAGATCATGAGGGTGCTAACATCATCAATGGGCTAATCGATTGATGAGTTCATCCTGAATGGGCTACTGGGGTGTGGGACTTGGCTGTAAGAAGCAGCTCACTGCAGATGTGACCTGGAAAGAGATTCCTTGTACCTGCTTCCCTTCTGCACCTCTTTGCTTCCTGTCTTCCATGAGGTGATCAGGTCTATGCTACATATCCTCTCGGCCATGATGCTCAGCCTCACCCAAGCCTAGGAATTATGGAACGGAGGGACCTTGGACTGAAGTCTCTGTAACCATGGGCAACATCAAGCTTTCTGTTGTTTGTGTCCTGTCACAGACTAAGTCACTTTAGTTGATCTAGCAGGGTACTTGGCTGCTCTCTGGGTCCCCAGCACTGTGGACAGTAGTAGATGACTCTTTGCTGTAGGCTGTCTTGTGCATTATAGGGTGCTCAGCAGCATGTGTGTCTCTGCCACTCAATCCTCCTCCATCTGTGACAGTCAGCTATGTGTCCAGATATTGTCCAAAGTCCCCTTGGCAGGCAAATTTGCTCTGGGTTGAAAACCACTGCTTTTGCTGATGAATAAATCTATGGACCAAGGAAGGCCTGGGAATCACAGCTTCTGGCCTCCAAAACACTCCCAGGGGAGCTGAATCATGGAACAGCAGCACAGAACGTACTTTGGAGGGAGCCGGGTCACTAAGAATAGGCGGCCTATGAGATGAGAAGTTTTCCCCAGCTACCATATGGTGGAAACCCACCTGGCCCAGCCATCAGGCCTGCAGCAGATGTGATGTGAGCAAGTGCTAGACTCTCACCTGCTCAGCTGCTGAGATGTTGCTGCTGGTTGTTTCTGTCACTCTGCCTGGCACCACACAGGTGTTCATTTTCTCATCACCCTGTTCTCTCCCGCTTGTGGCTTCCCCATCCCAAGCACGTGTAAATCCAACTCTTCAACCTCTTCTACTGAGCCAATCTGCAAAATCTGCATGGTTTCTGTTTGGAGGATTGTGTTTTCCTAGGAATGGCAATGAAAGTGATGGAGAAGGGCAGCAGTCAGGCAGTGCAAGTAATTAATCCCATCTTACTCTCGGGATGGGCAGATACGCAGCTGGCTGTCCATGTCTGTGAGTTCTGCATCTGTAATTCAACCAAACTCAGGAAAACATGTGGAAAAAATTTCAGAAAGTAGCCAGGTACCTAGTGACTCATATCTAGTTACTCAGGATCCTCAGGATCTGAGGATCATGGTTCAAAGCCAGCAAGGGCAGGAAAGTTCATGAGACTCTTATCTCCAATGAGCCTCCAAAAAGTTGGAAGTAGAGGTGTGGCTCAAGTGGTAGAGTACTAGCCTTGAATGAAAATGCTTAGGGAGCACACGAGGCTCTGAGTTCAAGCCCTAGTACCTGCATCCCCTCCCCCCAAAATGCAGCCTGTTAGTAATAAAGACAGAAAAGAGGACTCCTGATAGTAAAACGAGCAGAAAGAACCTTAACACAGCTACTCTTTTGCTTTACTGAGCTTAAGGAGGCAACAATCCAGCTTGAAAGTTTTGGCAAGGACTCGAATAGTATAAAAAGTGACAGTATATTCGAAAAATAAAAAAAATTGATGTTAGGCATTTAATGGATGGTTTTCAAGCAAGTTAAGCCAGTTTAAATTCTGAAGTCTTTTTTTTTTTGGATCTGGTCGTGGGGCCTGAACTCTGGGCCTGGGCACTATCCCTCAGCTCAGGGCTAGCGCTCTACCTCTTGAGCCACAGCGCCACTTCGGGCTTTTTTCTTTTTGCTTATGTGGTGCTGAGGAATCGAACCCAGGGCCTCAGGCATGCAAAGCACACGCTCTACCACTGAGCCACCTTCCTAGCCCCAGTTTAAAATCTGTAAGGAGACAGAATGAAGTTCAGAGAAACAAAGATTGAAATATAGGAAAGAAAAAGTAGGAAAAATGGAAGAAATGAGAATGTGTAACATACATGTTACTGGAGACCCAGAATTAAAGATACGATGTTGGGACATAGTAGCAAGAATGAGATAAATTGTAGTGGAGAACATTCAAAATCTGAAGAAATATACTGTGTTCTTAATACACTGTGTGTGTGTGTGTGTGTGTGTGTGTGTGTGTGTGATATGCCAGGTGCTAAAGCCTGTGATCCAGGGCATAGGTGACTTGTGACCAGGTGTAAGGGAGATACAATACAAAAACTTGATCTCTATATTGTAAATGACAGAGTAATGGAGCAAGTATGGCCTAGAAGTAGTGTTGAGGCTTATGGCTCACTCCTGTAATCTTAGCTACTCAGGGGGATTATGGTTCGAAGCCAGCCAAGGCAGAAAAGTCTGCTAGATATCATCTCCATTTAACCAGCAAAAAGCTGGCTGGAGGCATTCCCCAAATGGTAGAGTGCCAGCAAGGAGCAAGAAAGCTGAGCAAGAGTTTGAGGCCCTGAGTGTAAGCCCTAGTACTGGCGCATGCACACACACACACACACACACACACACACACACACACACACACACACACACACACACACACAGAGTGATGATGAGATGCTTAGATATCCACACAGAAAAAAATATGACATAGGATCCCTATTTCTTATTACATACAAAAGTCAGTTCTAGGTGAATTCTGTGTGTGTGTGTGTGTGTGTGTGTGTGTGTGTGTGTGTGTGTGTGTGTGTGTACAGGTAGGTAATGGGGATTGAATGCAGGGCTTTCTGTGGGTTAATTGGAAATGAGTTTCTCACAGACTTTCCTGACTGGCTTTAAACTGAGATCCTCATATTTCACCCTCCTAAGTATCTAGGATTAAAAGGCATGAGCCACCAGCACTTGATGTCCTGGTGCTTTTTGATGAAGTAGGTCTTTGATAGCCCTGTTCTTTTGAAATGTATCTCTCTTCCAGAGTAATTTTATCCCTGAACTCTTTTGCTAAAATTCCTGGGGCAGTTAAGTCCAGGCCTGTCCCTGTAGTGACTGTCAAGATCATACACCCAGGAGTTTACTTGCTCCTTTCATTCAGTCTAACCTTTTCTTTGCTGGAATTTGAACTCAGGGCCTCAGCTTGCTTGTTAGGCTAGAGCTCTATCACCTGAGCCATATTTCCAGCCCAGCTTTTTGCTAATTTTTTTTCCCGGAAATGAGTCTCAAATACTTTTCTGCCATGCCTGGCTTTTAAGCTAGATTCCCCGGATCTCAGCCTCCTGAGTAGCTAGAATTACAAGTATGAGCCACACCCCTGGGAGCATATATTCATCCAGTTTGTTGCATGGTGGAGATACTCTGAATAGCAGTTTCTTTTTTATTGATGAATAAATATACCATTGTGTGTGTATGTGTCTGTGTGTGTGTGTGTGTGTGTGTGTGTGTGTGTGTATTTCAATTTGTTTATTCATTTAGTGGTTGTTTGGCATCTGAATAGGATTAATTCTTCTAGAAACGAGGTTGAAGGGAGCACCATAGGCCCTTGATCCTTGCTGGATATATATGTGATGGATATTTCTTCCAAGTCTATGGGTCACCTGCTTGTGTGTGTGTGTGTGTGTGTGTGCGTGCGCACACGTGCACACACACATGCGTGCGTGAGTACTGGGGCTTGAATTCATAGCCTGAGTGCTATGACTTGTCCTTTTTGCTCAAGCTTACACTCTACCACATAACCACAAATTGTCTTGGTTTTTAGTGGTTAATTGGAGGTACAGAGTCTTAGGGATTTTTCCTGCTTTGGCTGGTTTTGAACTATCATCCTCAGATCTCAGCCTCTTGAGTAGTTAGGATTACAGGGGTGAGCCACCAGTGCCCAGCTTAAGCTTATTACATATTGAGAAGCACTGAGGTAGTTTTTGAGGAATGAGGGTAATGACCCTAACTGTCTCACAGCTTCTCCATCCCCTGCTAGGTGCGGGGCTATGGACTCATTTTCTGTCTGTGACATGCTCCACATCCCAGACTGAACCTCTAGGTGTTGTGATGTTTGCTGCTGGGGTTGAGGGTAGGCAGGCGCCCAATGAGCCCCCACCCCCCCAACTTGCTAAAATCCACCTTCTCAGTTACCAAGCAGTTCCAGCCCTCTCCTGAATACACATCCTTCCCCCAGCCTCAGTTTCCTTGTTTGTAGAGCTGCTGAAATTACATCCATATATCTATCTCAAGAAGGAAAGTGTTGGGGAGGGTTCTGAAGAGCACCGGGCCCATGGAAACAGTACAATAAAACCCCACAATCGCCATGGCCATTCAGAGCTCCGTCCCCCAGGAAAAGCCCTTGGACACCAGTTGCCTTTCCAATCAGCTCTACCTCCAAACACCCTGCATAATCCAGTCCGCCTTCTTCCAGGTGGGACTTCCCTGCCCTTCCAGCTCTGCGCCCCTAGGCAGCATGCACTCATAAATCTTCTCCAGCATGTCCCTTTGTTGCAGGGAATTGTCCTGGTGTTGTCTGACCACTGGACCTGTGAGTTTTCAAATCCAAGGCTCTCTTGTCTTGATCATTTAGCCCTGGCACTTTGGAGGATGCTCAATCAACGTTTGCAAAATGAAATTCTCGATGGGTCCAGCAGGTGTCCACTCCTCCACTATCAGAGATCAGGGTCTGTTCAGGAGGTGGGGCCTAAGGGTGGCCGGCTGGGCTGTGCCAGGGGCTAGGGTCCCACCCAGTACGGAGGGGTTGCGGTCAGAGCAGCGCTCCAGTCCTTCCTGTCCAGTCCCTCCCCGCCCCTTCTCTTTCCCTCCCCGCCCTTCTCCGTTGCCACTCCGTTCCTCCTCAATTCGCAAGGGCCACGCCCACAGACCCCGCCCACCACAGACCCCGCCCACCACAAGGCCCCTCCCTGCCCGCCCCGCCCCGCCCCCGCCCGCAAAGCCGCGTCAGGGAGGGGCCCACGGGGGCGGAGCCAGCAGCGGCCGAGGCTCCCGCGCGGCTCTGGGTCGCTGAGCCCAGATCCCGGCGGCGCGACGAGGTAAGGAGCAGCTGCAGACAAGGGAGCGGGTTCCGCTGCAAAGGGGTGGGCCGAGACCCGCCCCTCGCAAGTAGGACAGCCTGGTGGCCCACCCGACCCCAGCTGGGGGACTCGGTCCCCCTGCCCGCGCACCCCCCCGATTCCCTCCATCCCGCGCCCCCATCCCGTGCGCTCCACTCCGCACCCCCTCCCTCCGAGCATCCCCAGGGCTCTGCTCCCCCTGGCCCAGCCACGCGCCTTGTTGGTCCCACAGGTTCCTGCCCTAGGCGGCTCGAGTCAGGGCTCGGCCTCCTTGGGGAGGGGAGGAGGGGGCGCCTCCGGAAGCCGCCCGGGGTGAGCCCCGCGCGGGGCGGGGGCCGGAGGCCCTGGGTACCATTCTTCTGCCTCGTAGCGAATGTCACCGTGCTCAGCGCGGCTCAGGCTGGCTCCATGTTTGTGGAATGAATGAATCACGACTCTCTTGTCCTCTTCTGGAGGATTTATTATTATTATTATTTGGAGGTCCACGTGCTGCAGAGTATCTGGGGGGGTGTCTCTTGAGCTAGGGTACCCCTCTTCCTGCGTAGCTGAAACCCCGCTTTTCGTTCTCCATGTCTTCTCTTCACTCCATTCTGGAGGCTTCCTTTGGGTTGGGGTGGGGGGAATGGGCAGAGTGGTTTTGTAGGCCCAGTCAGGTACTTGTTGAAGGGGTGTTGTAGCCAGGGACTGGAGCAGGGAGTCTTAGAAGGTAGCTAAAGTGGGGAGGACCGCTGGGGAGAGCTGGGGTTGGCAAGGCCATTTGCATGACCAAGGCTAGCTGGAAGTGCCAATCAGAGGTTGGATTCTGGTCCATGAGTTACTTATTGAACCCTTTGGTGCCTCAGTTTGTTTATCAGAAAAATGGGAATATTGGTATTCATTTTTCAGGGTTTTGCACAGTTTTGGAAATACCGTGTGTGAAATACCCAGCTTGTCCTATGGAGGGCTCTCAGTAAATCATGCTTTTTGTTTACCTTGCTCTCTGAGGGAAAAAAAGTGAGCAGAGATATTTGGTTCCCATTTCCTCTGTCCCTAAAATTGACCATAGACAGAATCAGGTGATATGTGGTAAGTATTGAGTGAATATGTCACCACCACCCCCCTCTTCCCCCATCTCATTTCTATCTGCAGAGAGAGCTCAGGAACCGGCATAGGCATGCCAGTGCTGTCAGAGGACTCTGGTGAGTGCCCCCTATGGCCAAATTAGCTATAGCCTTAAACAGAAGCTCACCAGACTGGGGTCTCCTAGAGCTAGAAAGGAACCAGGCTCTTTGCTGGTGCTGCCTCCAGACTACCCTATCTGAAAACCTTGGGGAAAAGAGGTCTACATGGGTTCCCGGACAGGAAGTCCTGCTGAGTTTATGTTCTTCCTTTTGTGTGTGTGTGTGTGTGTGTGTGTGTGTGTGTGTGTGTGTGTGTGTACTGGAGTTTGAACTCAGGGTCTGTGTGCTTGTCCTTTAGTTTTTTCACTCAAGACTGGTGTTCTGCCACTTGAGACACAGCTCCATTTCCAGCTTTTTACTGATTAATTGGAGATGAGTCTCACAGACTTTCCTACCCTTTGGGCTGGCTTTGAACTGCTGCCCTCCTATCTCAGCCTTCTGAGTAGTTAGGATTACAGATGTGAGCCACTAGCACCCAGTACTACCTCGTTTTTCTTGTTCTCTCTTTAGGTTTGCATGAAACCCTGGCGCTGCTGACCTCGCAGCTCAGGCCTGACTCCAACCACAGGGAAGAGATGGGCTTCCTGAGGGATGTTTTCAGTGAGAAAAGCCTGGGCTACCTGATGAAGGTGAACACCTGCTTCAGCCCACTTCCCTCTTTAGGGATGGCTCCTCCTAGCTCTCTGACACCTGAGCTATCCCCCTGCCTCAGGAAGACCTTCACAAGCTCACTTGACAGGACTTTCTCTAAGGCTGCCCTGTGGTTGACCACAGCTAGGGATGGGGGATCTTTGGGGCCAGAGTAAACTGAAAATCAGATGTTTTTGCAGATTCATGAGAAGCTGCGTTATTATGAGAGGCAAAGTCCAACCCCAGTTCTGCACAGCGCTGTGGCCCTCGCAGAAGATGTGAGTCTCCCAGGTTTTTCCTTCTGATGACAACCCCATTTCCTATCCGTAGGCTCCTTCTTGCTTTGTCACCATTGCTTAGCTTGGAAACATTAGGTGTTGAGAACACAAAGTTGAAGAGGTGTTTCCTTTTTGTTCTTTTTTCCTTTTTTCTCTGCCTTGGGTCTCCTAATAGGCACAGAGGATGGAGGACCTTGTAAGCTTTGGACTGGGCTGGGAAATATGGTGTTGTTCTCCCTTCCCCTTGTCCCTTACTGTGTATTTTGGAGCAAGCCTGTGTCCTTAGCTAGAAAAGGAGAGGATTAGATGGAATCAGCAATTCTCCAGCTGTTCTGAGAACTGGCACCATGACTAGATCAAACCATCAGCTCAGGTCCTGTGCTTTGGGAGGCCAACATGAAGTGTGTGCCTAGTACTGGCTTAGGCCTCTCTCTCTCTCTTTCTCTCTCCTCTCTGTGTGTGTGTCTGTGTTTGTACTAGAACTGGGGCTTGAACTCAGGGCCAGGGTGCTTCCCCTGAGCTTTTTACATCAAGACTAGCATTGTACCATGTGAGCGCAGCTCCACTTCCATTTCTTTTTTTTGTGTTGGTTGTTGAGCTTGAACTCTGGGCTTGGGCGCTGTTCCTGTGCTCTTCAGCTCAAGGTGAGTTGAGATCACCCAGTGCCCAGGCAAGGTGCCATCTTGTCACTAGTTCCTGACCTTAAACAGGTCACTAACAGACAAGGCTAAGTTCAAGTCTCGGCTGTGCCACTGATGAGCTATGTGACCTTGGACAAGGTATTTAATCTCTCTGGGCCTCAGATGTTTCCTCTGTTACAGTGGCAAAACGATAGAACTCACTGCATCTAATTTTTTACAGGGATTGAGTGAAAAGGCCCTAAAAAGCAACAACACACAGCAGGGGCTTAATAAATTAGGTGCTCCTGAGCTGGGCACTGGTGGCTTACAGCTGTAATCTGGGCTACTCAGGAAGCTGAGATCTGAGCATCCAGATTTAGAGCCATTTCAGGCAGATAAATCTGAGAGACTCATTTCCATTGAACCAACAAAAAGGCTGACAGTGGAGGTGTGGCTCAAGTGGTAGCTAGCCCTGATCAAAACAAAGCTAAGCAAGACTGTAAGGCCCCAAGTTCATTCCCCTGTACTGCTGTACACACACACACACACACACACACACACACACACACACACACACACACACGTCAGCTCCTAGTAGGATTGCCCTGTAGACCTGCTTGAGCTTGCCTGCCCCCTGCCATAATTTCCCCAAAGCCTCCATTGATCTGAGGGTGGCTGAGGGTCTAATGTGCTCCTGGGTACTCAGCGTTTCCTGGGGGAACCCATTTCTAAAGCCCAGGGAGGAGGGATTTTCCCAAAAGACTCAGGCAGACTTGGGCAGGGGCACCCCAGCCTACTGAGACATTCTGTCTCCTTCCCTTGCAGGTGATGGAGGAGCTGCAGGCCGCCTCCGTGCACAGCGAGGAGAGGGAGCTGCTGCAGCTGCTGTCCACCCCCCACCTCAGGGTAGTCACGCCGCAGGCCCTGCCCACCCACACAGCCCTGTCTCCTGGGATGGGGGCGGAGGGAGGGCTGGGTCCTTAGGCTGAGAGGAGGTGGCTTCCACATGAAGGATCTTCAGCACTGGTGTCTGAAGGAGGGGAGTGGTATCTCTGCTAAAAGGTCTGAGCCTTTGACCCCTGCCTAGCCACTCCTCCCCTGGCCCCATAATGTGTGGGGCTCACTGTTTTCTTTGCTTCATGCCAGGCTGTACTGGTGGTACATGATACAGTGGCCCAGAAGAATTTTGACCCTGTTCTGCCTCCCCTGCCTGATAATCTTGATGAGGATTTTGATGAGGAATCAGTGAAGATTGTTCGCCTGGTGAAGAATAAGGAGCCATTGGTATGTGGTGTTCACCTCTCTCTCCCTGCCCTTGCCCTTGCTTCTTCCCCGACCCCCACCTCTACTCCTGAAGTTTTCAGGGTGTCAGACTTTTGTGTGTAGAGTACCTCCCTCCACCCCAGCTGTGGCTGAGGCCTTTAGCACAGTGATCAACCTGCACAGCTGTCCAGGGTAGTGATGATCATTAGGCTTAGAACTAGAAGTTATGGTCCAAATGTAGCCCACAGCTTGTAAGGTTTTTTTTTTTGTTGTTGTTTTTTGTTTTCTGATGTTGCTGATTCATATCACAGTGGAGTTGAGTAGTTGCAACAGATATAGTATAGTCCCCAAACCTGGTATTTTTATTAGGTCCTTCATAGAAAGTTACCGATCCCTGCTGTGAATAATGAGGCAGCAGGGCCATTCTTTTCCTCAGCTAACAGGCGATCATTTTGCTACTGGTTCAGCACTAATTGGGCAAAGAGACAGGTTGTTTCTTAGATGGAGGGAAGAGGTGGAAATACAGAGAACTTAGTCCAGAGAATTCCACAGTTTCAGTTTTCCCAGGTGATCTGCAACTAGCCATATCTGCACACAAGATGAGGCTCTTTTCTTAGTCTCTGTCTCCTTGTTACACATGGGGCCACCACCATAGAGTTGGTGTTATACCAGGAGCCCTGCTGTTCCTGTATCATGTTAGGGGCCAGCAGTTCAGAGAGGACTAAGGGCTGCACCGAGATGCCAGAGAGTTCCTAGGTCTGAGGACTAGGAATGGACTGCCTCTCTTGCCAGTAATACTTACCTTTTGTGCTTTAGATAGGCAACATGAATAAAATTCATAAAGATGTACCTGTTGTCCTGGCTCACTTAGGAGGTGAAGGTAGAAGAATTTCAAGTGAGTTCAAGGCTAGCATAGGCAAAGTTAGTAAGACTGTCCCAAAAACATAATACAAGCTTAGCACCTCTGGTTTCTCATGTCTGTAATCCTAACTACTCAGGAGGCTGAGGTCTGAGAATTTAGGTTCAAAGCCAGCAACAAGCAAAAATGTCCATGAGACTCTTGTCTCCAACTAACCAGCAAAAAGCCAAAAGAGTAGGTGTGGCTTAACTGGTAGAGCACCTTCCTTGAGCAAAAAGGCTAAAAGACAGTGCCCAGGCCCTACTCTCAAGCCCCACTGCCAGCACCATAGAAAAAAGGGGAACTGGAGGTATGCTTAAGTGCATTTGCTTAGCAACCGTGAAGACCTGGATTCAATCCCCAGTATACTTTCCTCCTCCAAAAACAAAAACAAAAACACCAAAAAATGTGAAAATGCGTTTGCAGGTTTTACCAATAATAAAGGGTTAACATGTGTTGAGCCCTTACTGTATATGAAGTGCTGTGCCATCTTGCATTCATTCAGAGAAAAGAGGGGACTTCCTTGCTAAAGCCATGTGCTTTTTGTCAGTGGGTTCATACCTAGTCCAACTGCAGTCCTCAGGTCTCAACCTCACCTGTACCCTGGCATCGACACTCATCAAGTGCAGGAAATTGAGGGCTCATGAAGTAGTGCCTTGCTCAGTCCAAATGCCATCTCCTCCCTGATTGGTGGGCCAACTCTTGGTCCTGAAGCTCTGGCAGGGGCATAATTGGTTCCTCTTGGCAACAACAGAAGGCTCAGGAACACTGTGATGGGCTTGGGGCAGGTTGTGAATTTGCTAGCACATACTGTCCTCATTATTAAATGACTGCCGGAGGCAGAGGCCCCCCTGTGAGAGAAAGAAAGCACTGGATTCAGCGTCACAAAAAGCTTTCCACCTTTCTGTCCAGGTGACCTTGAGGATGCTTATAGCTGACTTTGAGGATGCTTATTGTCTCTGCTTTAGTTTCTCATCTCAGGGATTTTGTGCTTTGTAAACTGTGAGGTGTAGAGCTTTACTTAGGAGGCAGATGCTGGTTTTACTGGCTCCACAGCCTTGGGAAGGCCCTCACTGAGTCACCTTCTGGAGTGTGGAGGTCATTGTTGGGGTCTAGGGTCCAAGAACCTATCCTCCGTTCTGTCTTCCATGTAGGGTGCCACCATCCGTCGGGATGAGCATTCAGGGGCTGTGGTCGTGGCTAGGATCATGCGAGGGGGTGCAGCAGACCGGAGTGGTAAGTGGTAACAATGTGATGTCAGCTTGGCTGGGAGTAGGGGGGTTGTTCCAGAGATTTTCCTCTTTCCTCCAATGCTCTCTTTCTCTCTCTTCTTGGGTCATTTATTTGGGATGTAGTTTGGGGAATGTCCTAAGCTCAATAGAATTTTATTTTATTTACCTTATTTTTGGTGCAGGCATTGGGGATTGAGCTCAGAGCCTGGGTGATGTCCCTCAGCTTTTTTACTCAAGGTTGATGCTCTACCACTTAAGCTATATCTCTTATTTCCAGCTTTTTGGTCATTAGTTGGAGATAAGAGTCTTAACCAACTTTCCTGTTTGGGTTGGCTTTGAACTGTGATCCGCAGAACTCAGCCTCCTGAGTAGCTAGGATTACAGGCATGAGCCACTGGTACCCAGCTCTACGTAGAAATTTAACTAAAACCCTAGTAGGCCTGAAGTCATTTGGGGACTATCGGGAAGAGGCTTATGTTCTAGCTTTATGCCAAGGCCCTTTGGGGTACTGCCCTGCCCCGATCATTGTTTTGTTGAGTTGCTCGGTAAGGGGCCGGGTGTTCATGTCCCAGATTAGCTGAGGTGGAAAACAGGTTGAGAATCACTGGTGTGTGGGGGAACTGAGCCAGAATGCAAGCCTGCTGGTGTAGGGGATTGTACCCTCCAAGTCTTGGGCATCAGTGTGGGAGGCCTGGACTAGCACTCCTCAAATACCACTGAGCACACAGCATCCCTGAGCTTCATGCGGACTCTGAGTCAGAAGCCAACATTTTGTACCCTCCCTGCAGCTACTGCTGCTGCTGGCCCAGTGCCCACTGCGACAGCAAATAGGGCTCCAGTATGCAAGGACACGTCATTAAAGCAGAGGCTAGTACCCAGAGTGCTGGGTATCATGGTGCACTTCTATAGTCCCAGCTACATTGGAAGCTAAGGCGGAGGATTACTTGAGTCTGAGAGTTCAAGACCAGGCTAGTCGACGTAGACAGACCTGGACAGGTATGCCTACACTCTTGATGACATTTATTTATTTATTTTGCTGGTCTGGGGGCTTGAACTCAGGGCCTGGCTGTCCCTGAGCCTCTTTGTGCTCAAGGCTAACACTCATCACTTTGAGCTACAGTGCCACTTCTGGCTTTTTCTGACTAGCTTATTGAAGGTATGAGTCATATGGATTCTCTTGCCCAAGCTGGTTTTGAACCTCAATCCTCAGATCGCAGCCTCTTCAGTAGCTAAGATTACAGGCGTGAGCCATTGGTGCCCCGCTTTATTTATTTATTTTTTGTCAGTCGTGGGGCTTGAATTCTGGGCCTGGGTGCTGTCCCTCAGCTCTTCAGCTCAAGATTAGCACTCTACCACTTGAGCCACAGTGCCACTTCCAGTTTTCCGGTGTTTTTTTTTGGAGATAAGAGTTTTTTCCGGCTTTCCTGCTCGGGCTGGCTTTGAATTGCAATCCTCAGATCTCAACCTCCTGAGTAGCTAGGGTTACAGGCGTGAGCCACTGTGCCCAGCTGCTTGGTGACATTTTTTTTTTTTTTTTGGGTCCAGTCGTGGGGCCTGAACTCTGGGCCTGGGCACTGTCCCTCAGCTCTTCAGCTCAAGGCTAGCACTCTACCACTTGAGCCACAGCACCACTTGCCGCTTTTTCTTTATGTGGTGCTGAGGAATTGAACCCAGGGCCTCAGGCATGCAAGGCAAGTGCTCTACCACTGAGCCACCTTCCCAGCCCTGCTTGGTGACGTTTTTTAAGGGAGACTTTAAGTTTCTTTATCAAGATTTAAGAAGACCATTCCTGAGTGTGCCTGAAAACCAAGAAAGTGCAGCATTAATGATCTTTTTTGGTATGTGTGCCAGTATTGGGGCTTGAGCTTTTTTGCTCAACTCTACAGCTCCACTTCTAGCTTTATGCTTGTTAATTGGAGCTCTCAGATTTGTCTTCCCAGGCTGGGACTTTAATTCTCAGATCTCAGCCTCCTGAATAGCTAGAATTACAGGTGTGAGCCACTGGGGCCCAGATAAAGATAATTCTAAAGAAGAAGAGATTGGGCTTGGCTCATTGCTCAAGTGGTAGAGCACCTACCTATTAAGGACAAAGCCCTGAGTTCATCTCTCAATCTCCTCCCCCCTCCAAAAAAACAGAAGGCATGCAGTTTTCTGTGCCAAAAGTGACTAGCTGCTTACTGGCTCTGTTATTTCTTAGTAGCATGGCCTTGGGCAAACTGCCACTTCTTCCTGGCTGGCAGCTGCCAGCTTGTACAGGAAGGCCTGTGGGGGGGGGGGGAGGGGGAAGGCAAGGAGGGGACTATGATGCTGAGAGCCTGCCAAGCACACAGAATGTCACAGTCTGTTCTAGCCTCATTACCCTTCCCTCAGGCTTCAGACCATGAGTCTGTCCTGCAGCGGGTTCCTCAGCTCCCAGGGCTCTGAGCTCAGGGCCGAGGTCCCTTCCTATGCTGACAGGTTGGTCCCTGTGTCTCCCAGGACTGGTGCACGTTGGTGATGAGCTCCGAGAAGTGAATGGAATCGCAGTGCTGCACAAGCGGCCAGACGAGATCAGTCAGATTCTGGTGTGTGTTGCATGTGTGTTGGGAAATGGGGACTTTTTGGAGAATTTCAGAGCAGGGAGCTTTCCAGAGCCAGGGTAGATTTGGCTTAACCAATGTCTCATGAGGCAGCGGCAAGCAAAGTAGCCTTGCAGTGTTCCCTGGGGTGTGGAATCAGGAATGAAAAGACTAGAACTTGCAGTCCACCTGCTTCTCCCAGGCCTTCTCTTCAGCACAGCCATTTTCACTACCTATCCCTTTTTCTGAGCACTCTTCTGGCTTCTGGGTTTGAACCCTGGTTCTGCCACTTTCTGGCTGTGTGGCCTTGGACCCAAGTCAGGTGAGACTCCATTTCCTTTGCTGTAGAGAGACCTCGAGACAATCTCTCAACCAGTGCCTGGTTATCCTTAGCAGTGAACATCAGGAGAAGATAAAACTTTTAGAGGTGAAAATGACCTACCTGGTTCATTTGGAGGGAATCTTTTATTTTTTATTTTTTGGGTCCGGTCGTAGGGCCTGAACTCTGGGCCTGGACGCTGTCCCTCAGCTCTTCAGCTCAAGGCTAGCGCTCTACCACTTGAGCCACAGCACCACTTCTGGCTTTTTTTCCTGCTTATGTGGTGCTGAGGAATCAAACCCAGGGCCTCAGGCATGCAAGGCAAGTGCTCTACCACTGAGCCACCTTCCCAGTCCTTGGGAGGAATCTTGAGTCAAAACTAGAATCAGGAAAAGGCCAGGGCTCTGTCCTGTTTGTCCTAGGGTATCAATATGCTGCCCTTTCCTAACTTCAGAGGGTTTCAGGGTCAGATACAGAATTACAGCTGAAGAGAACAGGCCTACCTTCAGTCCTGTTGTGGGGAACACACATGTGGCCTGGCCCTTCAGTCTTTTTTTTTTTTTTTGGTCGTGGGGCTTGAACTCAGGGCCTAGATACTGTCCCTGAGCATTTTTTTTTTTTTTTTTTTGTTTTTTGTTTTTGGGTCCGGTAGTGGGCCTGAACGCTGTCCCTCAGCTCTTCAGCTCAAGGCTAGTGCTCTATCACCTGAGCCACAGCGCCACTTCCGGCTTTTTTCTTTTTTTTTTGCTTATGTGGTACTGGGGAATCGAACCCAGGGCCTCAAGCATGCAAGGCAAGCGCTCTACCACTGAGCCACCTTCCCAGCCCCTCCCTGAGCATTTTTGTTCAAGGCTAGTGTTCTACCACTTTGAGCCACAGTACTACTTCTGGTTTTTGAGTGGTTAATTAAAGATAAGAGTCTCATGGACTTTTCTGCCTGGGCTGGCTTCGAATCATGATCCTCAGATCTCTGAGTAACTATGATTACGGGTGTGAGCTACTGGTACCTGGCTCTGGCCCTTCACTCTTTTAGCTGAAGTGTGTCCATTCTCCTGGCTATGGGCATTGGCCTGTACAATCATCTGGGCCTTCAGAGTAGTGGTGAGCCATGGGGAGAGAATCTGGCTGGTGTGCCCTCAGGATCTGACAGTATTCTTCCCCTAGACCCTGGCCTTTGGGTGCAGGGTCTCTGGAAGAAAGGGAACCTGCCAGAAAGGTCAGAGTGGTTTGAGATTGGAGAACTGTGGAGAAAATGGGAGCAAAGAGGAAAGGACTTACCAAAGAATAGCCCCAGGACAGGGAAAATGGAGGAAAATGAAATAGAAGATTATTAGAATGGCCTGAGTTGAGCTGGAGGTGTGGCTCCATTAGGAGAGTGCCATCCATGAGCAGAAAAAGACGAGCAAGAATGCAAAGCCCTGAATGTAAGCCCTGTTAACTCCCTTTCTGCCCCCTACCCCCATATATGCACATGATATGAGAAAAGCAAGAAGGGAGCTTTGAGGGCCTCATAAGTCAGGAGAGATAGAGAGCTGGAATTTAAATGCATGTCATATTCATAACATTCTCATGTAAAATCTTGTGTCTCTTTGTCCCATGGAAAGGCAGACACCTGATGTCAGAGTTTTACTAATTCAGCCAGGCCACAGGGGAGGAGGATACAGGTCTGACTTTCACTCTGATCAGTTCTTAGACACACACTTAGGGAAGGTGAAGCCTAGAAGACAATGAGTGATTGTTTCCTCTTGTTTTAGGCCCAATCCCAGGGCTCTATCACCCTCAAGATCATCCCAGCCACCCAGGAGGAGGACCGCTTCAAGGAGAGCAAGGTATGGGGAGGTGGGCTAGGGGGACAGGGATGTATATGCTAGATCCAGTCCATCTGCAGATCATGTCATTCAGAACAGATCATGCATGTGGCCACTGTAATCTGTCCAACAGAACAATTCACTCACAAGATGATGCATGTGTTTGTGCCCTGTCTTTCTAAACTGGATTTGACATAGTTTATTAATAAGAGAACAAGGCTAGTTAAAGTAAGAAATGGAGGCCATCAGGAGGAGAAGGGGCTGGGGACTGGTGGCTCAACACTATAATCCTAGTTACTCAGGAAGCTGAGATCTGAAGGTTGTAGTTTCAAGCCAGTCTGGGCAGAAAAGCCCATAAAACTCCTAATCTCCAATTGACCAAAAATCTGGTTAGGCTGCCAGCCTTGAACAAAAAAGCCTGAAGTTCAAGCCCCAGTATTGGCACATATACACATACAAAAAAGTGGTTTATATAGATGGGATGTAACCCCAGGAGATACTAACCTAGGATCAGGGAAGGGAGGGCAGGGAAAGAAGCCATGCTCTAAAATGTCATCCAGCAAGTCACTGCCGTGGCACCTGCAGCTTAATCCTGCAGAGAAATTCAGGGAACCCCTGTAGAATACATGCCTCTGTCACCCTAGTCAACAGCCTTAGGGAGCTGGGGCGATTTATACAGAAACTGCTGCCAGGATACATTGGGGATTAATTTTTAAGCAATTTCTTCCTGCTGGATTAGAGAAGAGAACCCCCCCCCCCCCCCACACACACACACACACATCTCTCCCAGTGGCCAGAGGAAGTGAGTCCTTAGGCAAAGAGATTCAGGGATTGGCATCAGGACAGCAAATAAGGGCTACTGAAGTAGTCCAGTGGGAAGGACCCCTCACCACCTAAGAAATAACCCTTGCAAAAGTGATGAGAAGTTCTTAAAGGTATGTTTTTTAAAAGAAGGTTGTGATCCTTTGACACAGAGGAAGGATCAGTTTCCTTGAACAAGAAAATGAGCTAGATACTGGTGGCTTACACCTATACTCTTAGCTTATCAGGAGGTTGAGATGTGGGGATTGCAATTCAAAGCTAGTGGGACTGGAAACTCTGTGAGACTCTTATCTCCAGTGAACCATCAAAAAGCTGGAAGTAGAGCTGTGGTTCAAGTGGTAGAATGCCAGCCTTGAATGAAAAAGCTAAAGGACAGCAGACTAGAGCCCTGAAATCAGGCTCTAGTACTGGCACAAAAAGGAAGGAAGGAAGGAGGGAGGAAAAGAGGGAGGGAGGGAGGAAGAGAAGAAGATTGGAAAGAGAAAGTTTTGAGGGGTTGAGAGGGAGGGATTTAAAGGGTGACATTGACCAAGATGCATTGTATTCATAAACTGATTTGTTGAATGGCAAGTCCTTTGTACAATTACCCAAAGATATTTTTTAGCTGGGTGGTGGTAGCTACTCAGGAGGCTAAGATCTGAGGATCGCAGTTTGAAGCCAGCCCATGCAGGAAAGTTCATGAGACTTATCTCCAATGAATCACCAAAACAGCCAGAAATGCTTTGTGGCTCAAGTGGTAGAGTGCTAGCTTTGAGCAAAAAGAAGTACAGGAACAGCACCCAAGCGCTGAGTTCAAGCCCCAGGACTGGCATAATAATAATAATAATAATAATATTTTAAAAAGAGAAAGTTGCTCATAGGGCTTGTTTATTCATTTTCAATTCTTTTTTTTTTTTGGGTCTGGTCGTGGGGCCTGAACTCTGGGCCTGGGCGCTGTCCCTCAGCTCTTCAGCTCAAGGCTAGCACTCTACAACTTGAGCCAGCACTCTACAACTTAAGCCAGAATGCCACTTCTGGCTTTTTTTTTTTTTTTTTTTTGCGTATGTGGTGCTGAGGAATTGAACCCAGGGCCTCATGCATGCAAGGCAAGCACTCTACCACTGAGCCACCTTCCCAGCCCCTTCTTTTTTTTTTTTTTTTTTTTGGGTCTGGTCGTGGGGCCTGAACTCTGGGCCTGGGCGGTGTCACTCCACTCTTCATGAAGCTCAAGGCTAGCGCTCTACCACTTAAGCCACAGCGCCACTTCTGGCTTTTTTTTCCTGCTTATGTGGTTCTGAGGAATCGAACCCAGGGCCTCAGGCATGCAAGGCAAGCGCTCTACCATTGAGCCACCTTCCCAACCCCCTTCTTTTTTTTTTTTTTAACAAGGATTTATTTCAGTATATCAGGATAAAATAGGGAGAAATGGAAGGAAAAAGAAAAACCTTCCTGTTCACTTTGTGAGAAATGGTAATGAGCCGGGTGCTGGTGGCTCATGCCTATAATCCTAGCTACTCAAGAGGCTGAGATCTGAGAGTCACCATTCAAAGACACCTTGGGCAGGAAAGGTTGGTATACTTATCTTCAATTAATGACCAGAAAACTGAAGTGGTGCTGTGGCTCACAGTGGTAGGGTACTAGTCTTGAACAAAAAGAGTTCAGAGATAATAACCAGGCCCTGAGTTCAAGCCCCATGACCAGCAACAACAACAACAACAACAAAATCCAAACAAAAAATGGTAATGAAGTTCCTTTTTTTCTTGACACCGGGTCTTAACTATGTAGCTAGCTTAGGCTGGTCTCAGACTGATGGTTCTTTCTGCCTCAGCCTCGCAAGTTTGAGGACTAAAGGTATACATCCCCATACCTGGCTCATTTCTCTATCATGGAAGGATTTCCTGCCCTAAAAATCCCTAAGGGTGAAAGGATAGGGAAAGGTGGCATTGTGTTTTTGATTATCTCTTTGTGCTCATGACTCCTTGCTCGCCCTCACTGTGAATGGTCATCCTCACTTGGCCTGTGATGTGGTGTGGACATGTCTGTATCTTTGTATGGGGTGGGTATTTGTCTCACTGCATCTCTTCCCATGCAGGTGTTCATGCGCGCTCTCTTCTACTATGACCCCCGGGAGGACCGAGCCATCCCCTGCCAGGAGGCGGGCCTTCCTTTCCAGCGGAGGCAGGTCCTGGAAGTGGTGAGCCAGGATGACCCCACATGGTGGCAGGCCAAGAGAGTAGGGGACACCAATCTTCGAGCTGGCCTCATCCCTTCCAAACAGTTCCAGGAGAGGTGGGTCTGGAGTGCTGTCATGGGGTGGTCTAGAGTAGCAGTTGTCCATGTACATGATAAACCCCTTTCTGGCTGCTGAAGCCAAAAAGACCCATTAAATATGGTTCCCTGGGGTGACAATTGGGCTATGTGCTTCTTGTCCATTAGCTAGTGGTGATGGCTGTATGAGATTTAAATAGATGTGTGGACATTAATGAGTACAGTTGTCTCTCAGTATCACTGGGATTGGCTTCAGGACCTCTGTAAATAACAAAATCAACAGAGGATCAAGTCTCTTACATAAAATGATGTTTTGGGTTGTTTTGTTTTGTTGATATTGTCATCTTTTGTGCCTGTCCTGGTGCGTGAACTGAGGGCATGGGCATTGTTCTTGAGTTTTTGTGCCCAAGGCTAATTCTCTTCCACTTAAATCACACTTCCACTTCCAGCTTTTTTGCTGGTTAATTGGCAATAAGAATCTCATGGACTTTCCTGCTCTAGTTGACTTTGGATTGTAGTCCTCAGATCTCAGCCTCCTAAGTAGCTAGGATTACAGGTGTGAGCCACCAGTACCTGGCTAAAGTAGCATAAGACCTACAAACATCTTTCTGTATATTTTATTTAGTTTTTGTGCCAATTCTGGGACTTGAACTCAGGGCCTGGGTATTGTCCCTAATCGTTCCTTTTTCCCTCAAGGCTAGCACTCTATCACTTGAGCCACACCTCCACTTTTTTTGCAGGGCAGGGTGGAGGGGAGCAGTGTTTATTTGGAGTTAAAAGTCTCATGGACTTTCCTGCCTGGGCTGGCTTTGAACTTTAAACTTCAGATCTGAGCCTCCTGAGTAGCTAGGATTACAGGTGTGAGCCACCAGTGTCCAGTGTGCATACTTTATTCTTAATATTTCTGGCTGATACTGGGCCTGAACTTTGTGCCTCCCATTCTTGTTTGGCTTCCTGCTTACAGATGGAGCTCTTAACACTTGAGCCGTGATTCTAGCCCTTCCTTTTGCTGGCGTATTGGCGATGGAGTCTCAAAGACTTTTGGTTCTAGGCTGGCTTTGAACTAAGATCCTCAGGGTTTCAGCCTCCTGAATAACTGGGATTATAGGCATAAGCTACTGGCACCTGGCTAACTCAATCAGAGGCAGCAGGAAATTATTATGATTTGTTTGGCTTTGTGCCAGGCACCTTGCAGCTGCTGCCAATTCCTCATTTCTGCCCCATAGGAGTTTATAGTATAGTGGGAAAGCCAGGCATTGTTCGAACACATTTTGTATAAAGGGGATGGCTGTGAGAGAGAGGAGACGTCTGTGTAAGCTCATGCCAGGAGGAAGTGCACTCATGAGATATGGAGGGATGTTTTCCTTCTGAGGTTGCAGTAATCACCTTGCACACAGAGGGATCCTCCCGTTTCAAAACTATTTCTTTTTAGGCTAGATTTCCAAAAGGGTAGATCCTGGGTTAGAAGCTGGAGCACATAGGCTGTGACCCTGGTCACATCTTTTGTTAACCTTCTTGATATGGTCCTCAAGTCTGTATTACTTGGGAACTTGTTAGCAATGTAAATCATCCAGACCCACCTCAGACCTGCTGAAGCAGAAACCCTAGGGCCAACCCTGCATCCTCAGCTAATAAATGTTCCAAGTATTCTGAGGGTGTGAAGTCTTTGAGAACCAGGGCTCTGTTTCCATTCTGGCTTCACAGGCCTTGGCAACGTGGTATCAGAGGATTGTGGGAAGGGCTCCTCCCAGAGCCCTGGAACAGTTCCTAAACTCAGAGAGGTCTTGCCATGGCCTCTCTTCTGAGGGTTCCATTGGATACAGGGGAGAACTGAGCTCTCCAGCTGATGAGTGTGATGTGACATTCGGGTGACCTTTGTCCTAGTCTTTCTTGGGTGTCAGGAAGCCAGCCTGCTGTTTTCCAGTTTCCTCAGAGATGGGGAAGCCAGGTGAGTGTGAGGAAAGAGCTTCCTTCCCTCAGGAATCAGCCATGGTTAAGTAACAGCCAACAATGACCAAAGGTATCAGCTTGCCATCTTGGATTCCACAGCGAAGAATCAACTTTCTCTTTGTGAATAAGTGAGCCGTGTAAAAGCTCATTGGTGCCAGGCGCCAGTGGCTCACACCTGTAATCCTACCTACTCAGGAGACTGAGATCTGAGTATTGTGATTCGAAGCTAGGCGAGGCAGGAAAGTCTGTGAGACTCTTATCTCCAATTAACCACAAGAAAACCACAAGTGGCGCTGTGGCTCAAGTGGTAGAGTATTGACCTTAAGCTGAAGAGCTCAGGAACAGTGCCCAGGCCCAGAGTTCAAGCTCCACGACTGACCTAAAAAAAGCTCACTGGTGTAAAACATGTAAAAACGTCCCCTTTCCCAGGAGTCCCCTTTTCTCAGGAGTCCCTTGGAGGACCCAGCTTTGTGCCTGGAGGACCCAGCTTTGTGCCCCTGTACAATCTAGGCCTTGATTTCCCCAAGTTTCCAAAGGCTCCTGTCAGGTGGTTCTTGGACCTGGCTCATGAACCTCTATCCCTTTGTGTCCCCACAGACGACTAAGCTACCGGAGAGCCACGGGTACCCTGCCAAGCCCTCAGAACCTCAAGAAGCCCCCTTGTAAGTAGATTGACAGAGATGACACTTCAGGGAGTGGTTAGAAAGAAGCTGACACGAAGGCTGGAGGGGACACTAGGGATCCTTGTGAGCTTATGGATGACCGGGGGATGGGAGAGATATGAGTAGAGAAAATGGGTTGGGTGGGGGCACTTGTTTTCTCAAACAGATCTTCTGTGTTAGTGTCTGTAGATTATACACCTCTCCAAACCAGTATGTGTATGTGTTTGGAAAAGGGGTCTGAAGCTTTCACTAGCTTCCAAGTGGCTCTGATTCTGAAAACAAAGACCACAGATGTGGGCTGGGCATAGACTGCGCTCTGAGTGATCATGGGCCTCTGAGATAGGGTTTGCAAAATGTAGCCTGCTTGGTTAAATTTGAGTTTGAGATAAACTTTTCTTCCTTCCTTCCTTTCTGCCTGCCTGCCTGCCTGCCTGCCTTCCTTCCTTCCTTCCTTCCTTCCTTCTTTCCTTTCTTCCTTCCTTCCTTCCTCCCTTCCTTCCTTCCTTCCTTTCTCCTTTTCTTTTTTTTTGGTAGGTTGTAGGGCTTGAACTCAGGGCGTGGGTTCTGCCCCTGAGCTTTTTCAACTCAAGGCTAGTGCTCTACCACTTTGAGTCACAGAGCCATTTCCAGCTTTCTGGTAGTTAATTGGAGATAAGAGTTTCACAGGCTTTCCTGTCTAGACTGGCTTTGAACCGCAGTCCTCAGATCTCAGCCTCTTGAGTAGCTAGGATTACATGAGTGAGCCACTGGCCCCCAGCTGACACTTTTTTTTAGCGCTAAGTATGTCCCATGAAATATCTGGGGCATATTAAGAAATGGTTTGTTGTTTATTTGAAACTCAAGTTTAACTGAGTGGCCTGTATTTTATCTAACAAACCTATTCTATGTAGTACTTTGCCTTCTATCCACATTCTGTCTATCTATCATCTATTTATTGTACTGGGGTTTGAACTCAGCTCTTGCTAGGCAAGCACTCTACCTCTTGAGCCATACCACCAACTCTTTTTGCTTTAATTATTTTTCAGATAAGGTCTTGAGTTTTTGCCCTGGACCATAAACTTTCTGTTGCCATAAACAGCATAACTGGGATTACTGGCATGTATAGTACCATGGCCAGCTTACTGATTGAGATAGGATCTTAATAACTTTTTGTCTGGGCTGGTCTCAAACTACAGTCCCACTGATCTCTGCCTCCTAAGTAGCTTGGACTACACGTGTGAGCCACTGTGTTTGGATCCTTTTACTTTTTAGGTTTTTGCAGTGCTAGAGATGGAACCCAAAGCTTCATGAATGCTAAACTACCTCTGAACTACATCCCCAGCCCTTGCCTTTGATTGCAGTAATAGCCTTATGAAGCAGGTAGTCAAGGATCCTCTCCTATAAAATGATAAACTAGAAGAGGTTCATGAGAATGTGAGCAGAGCTTGTTTTTTTTTTTGTTTTTTTTTTTCTGGTCGGTCGTGGGGCTTGAAATCTGGGCTTGGGCGTTGTCCCTGTGCTCTTCAGCTCAAGGTGAACGCTCAACTGCTTGAGCCACAGCACCACTTCAGGTTTTTTAGTGGTTTATTGGAGATAAGAGTCTCATGGACTTTCCTGCCCGGGCTGGCTTTGAACCAAGATCCTCATATCTCAGCCTCCTGAGTAGCTAGGATTACAGGCGTGAGCCACCGGTGCCCAGTGGGGTTGGGTTTTTGGAGGCCTGTGGTCGGAGGTACCAGGTTAAAGCCACTGCATTGGCCCAAAGCCATGGGTCGGGGCCAGGCACTGGCTTCTTGTGGCTGCTAATAAGACATGCACAAGACAACTTGGGGTTTACCGGCTGAGCACAGATGTGTTGAGGATAGAAGTGGAACAGATGGGGGATCCTCAGACTTGGGTGGCAGGACTTCCAGGTCCCTTCCACTAACACTTACCCACCTGTCTTTTGTGCATACCGCAGACGATCAGCCTTGTGAGAAAGGTAGGAGCAGTGTTTTTCCCTGTGTGCACCCGAGGCCCCTCTGTTCTGGAGCATCTGGAGCTGGAGGGGCTGCTTTTTCTGCCCCTATCTGGGTAGCTATACCCAGATGTGTGGGGTGGGACTAGGTTCATTGCCTTGGGGGCCCATCCTGTGTGCCCATCCCCTGTGAAGAGGGTCATCCTTCCCTATCATCCAAAAGATGGGGGTCTAAAGGTGGAAAAATGAGTGAAATAGAAGGATTTGTCCTGGGACAGCCAGAATGTGGGTTTTTTTTTTCCCCCCAAGCACACCCAAGCAGCTTTCCCAGAATTCACTGGCTGGTCAGGGACCAGGCATTCAGTGTAATCCACTCACGTCCTGTCATCTGCTTGGTTCCCAGAGACCTGCGACTGCGAGGGATACTTCAAAGGGCACTATGTGGGTAAGTGACAGGGCTCTCCTCTCTCCCAGTGTAGCCTCAGGTGTCAGAGTTAGGGAAAAAGGAAGGCAGAGCTACCTGGACCCCAGAGACTCAGCTGAACCTTGGCTGCATGCTGGTTGCCTGTAATCCTAGCTACTTAGGAGGCTGAGATAGGAAGATCATAGTTCAAAGCCAGCCTGGGTAGGAAAGTCCATGAGACTCTTATCTCTAGTGAACTACCAAAAAGCCAGAAGTGGAATTATGGCCCAAGTGGTAGAGTACTACCCTCGAGTGAAAAAAGCTCAGGGATAGCACCCAGGCTGGCACCAAAAACACCAAACCAAACAAAATCCAAAACAAAACAGGCCTAGGAGATGCTTTTCTCCCCCATCCCCCAGTGTTTGGGTGAGTGGAAGGGAACACAGCACTGTGTACTCCACTTTTATCATTATCATCGTGTTTTAAATTTCTCTGTGTGTGCGTGCGTGCGTGCGTGCGTGCGTGCGTGCGTGTGTGTGCGCGCGCGCGCGCGCGCCTGGGTACTGTCCCTTAGCTTTTTCATTCAAGACTAGTGTTTCTACCACTTGAGCCACAGCTCTGTATCTGGCTTTTTACTGCTTAATTGGCAGTAAGAATCTCACAGACTTTCCTGCCTGGGCTGGCTTTGAACTCTGATCCTAAGATCTTATCCTCTTGAATTGGATTACAGGGATGAGCTACTGGTGCTCAGCTAGCAGGCAATTAACAAACAAAAAAAAACAAACCCCAAAAAACAAAAAACTTTTATTTTGAAGTAACCTCCAACTTACTGAAAAAATTGTGGAAATTGTACAGAGAATTCCCATTTACTCCACATCCCACTCACTGGTTCTTAACACCCATAACTTGTTCCCTTTTCTATATATGGCCTCTTTCTCCTGAGGATCGGGGGACTTAGTGTCCACATCATGCCCTTTACCCTTGAATTCCTGTGTGTGATGTCCCTAAGGATAGGGACATCCTCTTATATAATATTGGGATGGTCAAATCCTGGAAATGTAACATGCTTACAGTTTTATCATCTATATATGTGGCTATTTCTAGTCTCCAGTTGTCCCAACAATATCTCTAGGAGACCTACCCCCAATCTAGGACCGCCCACTGTATTTGTACCTGCATCTCCCCCGCTCCCCCCCAGACCCTATCACAGATTAGACCATGGAGGCCCAGAGATACTGTGCCTTAGACACTAGAGAGTTTAGATGTGGTGACTACTCCATGTCTGGCTAGGTAGAGAAAGTCTTTCCTGAGGTATCATAGGCCAGACATCCCCATGTCCCCTTCCTAAGCTGGTCTTCGGAGAAGCTTCCGCCTGGGTTGCAGAGAGAGGCCAGGTAGCTCACAGGAAGGGAAGATGTCATCAGGAGCTGAGTCTCCAGAGCTGCTGACCTATGAGGAGGTGGCCAGGTACCAGCACCAGCCCGGCCAGCCGCCCCGCCTGGTTGTTTTGATTGGTGAGTGATATCCTAGGTTTCCAGGAGGTGGGCTGGTAGGGAAGAAGATCAGCAAAGACCCCATCAGCCTGCTCTTGGTTCTAGGGTCTCTGGGAGCCCGACTGCATGAGTTGAAGCAGAAGATGGTAGCTGAGAACCCACAGCACTTTGGCGTTGCTGTTCCACGTAAGAAGGCCCCTGTGGGGATTGGGGTATTTGTGGGCACACACTAGTGGTGGGGGGAGTCCATTCCTTGTGCTTGTCCTAATATTTTTGATACTTGGGTCTGAGGGACCTTCAGACGCCATCCATTATAGGCAAATTGTGAAACCTAGGCATGATAAGAAGGGACTCACTCTAGTGCTCCACTAAGACCCTTGAGTCTCAGAGGACTCACCTCAAGGTACCACCTGCTTGGTTCTCCCTGGGGAAGGGGGTGAGTTGAAAGCACATGACAGGCAAAGTGGCAACCTTGCCCTGACAGTGGGGACCTCCACAGGGGGAGGGGAACTTCCACCCTCCCCAGCCCGATGACTGATTCTGTCCCCTTAGATAAGGGAGCTTGTGAACTGAGATAGGACATCAGGAGTTGCTTATATACAAGTCACGAGAAACTTTCAGATCTGTCCCTGGGAGGAGATCTATGATAGGAGTGGTCAGATCCATCCACCTCCATTGACAGAGAGATTTACCTCCCCACATTTTTAGGACCTGGAGCTATCAGGGAAGGCAGTGATTTTTATGTTGGTTGTTGAAAATATAAATAGAAGTTTTCCAAACAGAAGAAAAGAAGGGTTGGCTATGGAGGGAATAGCAAGTACAAAAGGATGAATGTAGAACCTGGGGTAGCTGTGCTGGGGACTGAAGCTGATCAGAGGTTTGTAGGTCATAAGGGTCTTACAGTCTCATTAAGAGGTTTAGAATGGAAACAGTAGGTACATAAAATCATTCATTTGTCTATATTTTTTGAGGTACTGGGCATCCAATCAAGAGCCTTATGATGCTAACTAGGCAAGCATTCTGCCACTGAGCCAATCATCCAACTAAGAGTTTGAAAGCAAGGAAAGGACATGAGAAAGGGGTTCTCACAGCCCTTCTGGGGCTGGACTAAGGTGGCCCTTGGGGACCAGTGTACCCCAGTAGAGAAGCTGTGTGTGCTCTTGTTCTGTGGGGATCTGATTATCCCTAGCAGCATGCCTCTCCATTCCTGTATGGAACTCAATGGGAGAACACAAGCTTTTGAAGGTATTTTCTTTGAGAGTCAGCTCTGCCAAACACATCCAGTCTGTATGGAGTGATCTGTTGTCAAGTCTCTACTTTTCTCTCAGAATGAGAAGTCACTGGATAAAGAACTAACCTTCAGCAGGGCCAATTTTATTGGGAGTCTCCTTTGTTTTCAATGTAGAAAACAAAGATAAGGAAGTAAGGGCCTGGAAGTTTTCAGTGATGCTTTAAAAGCTCAGCATTGCTGGTGATGGCTCACGTCCGTGATCCTAGCTACTCAAGAGGCTGAGATCCGAGGATCATGGTTCAAAACCAGCCTGCACAGGAAAGTCTGTAGACTCTTATCTCCAGTTAACCACCAGAAAACTGGAAGTGGCACTGTGGCTCAAAATGGTAGAGTGCTCAAGGAAAGCTCCCAGACCCTGAGTTCAAGTCCCATGATAGACAAAAACAAACAAACAAAAAACCTCACCATCAAAGACCGCCTTAGTGACTCTGCTACCTACTGGGTATGAGTCTCTAGGCACAGTGCTTCTCTGTGCCTCAGTTTTCCCCACTGCAAAATAGGAGACCTTTTTCCTACATCACAGAGTACTAAGTCAAGAGTGTCAGGTACAGTACCTGACACTCAGGGATATGAATGGAGGCAACTAGTTTGTGCCTCCCTGGGGAGGCAGGGACTCACTGCTGGTCTCTTCCACTAAGGTGGGGGTATGGGAGGCATCTCTTCCTTCAGTTCCTCTTCTTCTTTCTTTAAAAGATACCACAAGGCCCCGGAAAAGCCATGAGAAGGAAGGGGTGGAATACCACTTTGTCTCTAAGCAAGCATTTGAGGCCGACTTACATCACAACAAGTACGTCCACTTGATGGGCTGGTTGCCTGTATGCAGCAGTGTGCACTTGTATCTGTCTGTCCAGCATTGGACTTGACCTTGGGGAGGGCATGGGCTTCCTAAAAAAGGATGGGGGATACAGAAGAGTTGTATTTAGGAAGTTCTCTTTGACTTTTCTTTTTTATTAATTTGGGAAAGCCCAGAAACTAAAGTTCTTTCCTCCTTGGGTGGTGTTTTAGGTTCCTGGAACATGGTGAATATAAGGAAAATCTCTATGGAACCAGCCTGGACGCCATTCAGGCAGTTATGGCCAAAAACAAAGTTTGCTTGGTGGATGTGGAACCGGAAGTGAGTTCTCGGGCCAGTTGGGCATGTCTAGCTCATGGAATTTATAACTGAGGAGAATGGATATTTTATTGAATACCAGATGCCAGGCATCAGTGGCTTACGCTTGTAATCCTACCTACTCAGGAAGCTGATATCTGAGGATCAAGTTTCAAAACTAGCCCAGGAAGGAAAATCTGAGAGCCTCTTATCTCTAATTAACCATCAAAAAGCTGGAAGTAGAGCTGTGGCTCAAGTGGTAGAGCATGAAGCTTGAGTGAAAAAGCTATGGAACAGCACCTAGACCCTGAGTTCCGGCCCCAGTATCTAACCTTAGTCTGAGGGATCTTTAGTTTGGGAATTGAATGAAGGCCTTGAGCCTCCAAACCATGCCTTTCTATTCACAAAGACTGCATTACTTAGAAATTATTCATGGGTCTTCTGGTGGCCCATAGACCCAGGACTGTAACTCCTGCATGGAACCAATGATGTATTAGACTTCATTGAGCCTGTAGTTCCAACAATGGGGAAACTGAGGCAGGAGGATTATGACCTTGTCTCTTATGGTTTCATTTGACCAACTGGACCATGACAGAGAATTAGATGAAACTATCATGCAAAGCCAAGCTGTTCTCAGTGCCAGCCTGCCAGCTGGGGGTGCAGGGAGTCCCTGGGGCAGGTAATGGAGAGGGCGGTCTGGAGAGCAGTTGGAAAGGAAAAATGGGAGGAGGATGGCCTGACTCTGAGCAGAGCTTCAAAGCCATTTCCAGTTCCGCACACACAGCCTGCTGCGGGCTCCACAGGGACCTGGCCATCTTTTTAACCTTGTCTTTCAGAAAAACTTCTAAGCTTTGAACTCAAGATGGATTTTTTTTTCCTTTGTAGAAGCAGATCTTTGATTTTATGGTATAAACTGTAAGCTTTATTTTACAGAAGTTGGCTTGAAACACATTTTAAAAAGCACACTTCAACTTTAAGGGAAAACTCATACAGAATTACTGGGAGCTGGTAGTCAAAATTCAAAGTTTAAGTTTGAGAGAGAGAGAGAGAGAGAAAGAGAAAGTGTGTGTGTGTGTGTGTGTGTGTGTGTGTGTGTGTGTGTGTGTGTGTGTGTGTGTGTGTTTTCCTGGCATTGGAACTTGATTTCAGGGCCTCACACTTTTGCTCGGCCTTTTTATGGCAGATGCTCTACCACTTGAGCTATGCTTCTACTTCTGCATTTTTACTGTTTGATTGGAGATGAGTCTCATAAACTGCTGTCTGGCTTTGACCCTCCATCCTCAGATCTGAGCTTCTTGAATAGCTAGGATTTTAGGCATGAGCACCAGAATCTCAATTAAGAAAACAATTTTTTTTTGTTTCTGTTGCTTGTAGGGATTGAACTCAGGGCCTAGGTGCTGCCCCTGAACTCTATCAATCAAGGGTAGCACTCTACCATTTTGAGCCACAGCTCCATTTGTGTTTTTCTGGTGGTTAAATATAGATGTCTCATGGACTTTCCTGCCCAGGCTGGTTTTGAGCCCTGATTCTCAGATCTCAGCTTCCTGAGTAGCTAGGATTACAGGCATAAGCCACCAACACCTAAGAATTTTTTTCTTTTTTCTTTTTTTTGCCAGTACTGGGGCTTGAACTAAGGGTCTGGGCACTGTCCCTGAGCTTCTTTTGCTCAAAGCTGGTGCTCTACCACTTGAGCCACAGTTCACTTTTGGCCTTTTCTGTTTATGTGGTACTGAGGAATTGAACCCAGGGCTTCATGCATACACTACCACTGAGCCACATTCCCAGCCCAGAAAAACATTTTTGTGATTCTATTGATCTCTATGTATATGTGTAGATAACTGCAGATAATAATTTAATATCAGAGTTTCAAATAGGGACCCTTAACATTATATAAAAAATGGACTTGTTAATAGTGTGACTTGCAAATGGAAAACCTTCGTCTACAAGCTTGTTCCAAGCCTTCCTCATTCTTGGACTCTCAAAAGGCCCAGGTCTTGGCACAGATTCTGCTTGAGTGTAGGTAGCCAAACAGAAGGTGGCTGAAGAGATCTATGCACAACTGGTTAAACTTCTACCCACAGGATTGAGCAGATGGAGAAGAGATGATTGGAACTCATCATTGATGATCATTGGCATTGGGTGAGGGTTGTGGGGCCGGGGGCAGGAGCTAGACTTCTGAGCTAAGAATTGCTTTCTCAGCTGCTAGACGGCAGGGCCCAGCTGAGCTCAGTGTTAAAGTGAAGGATCAGAGGATGTGTGGTTAGTCTGCCCTGTGGAAGTCCATTAGGACCCACATCACCAAGACCCAACCCATGTGGGTTAGGAGATGAAGCTTTCAGAATGAATGTGACACTATTAATTACTATTTAATTTTCCTGAATTTTTCTTCCCCAGGCACTGAAACAGCTGAGAACCTCAGAGTTCAAACCCTATATTATACTTGTAAAGCCTGCGATTCAGGAGAAAAGGAAGACACCACCTACGTCCTCGGCGTGTGATGACACAGCAGCCACACTTGTAAGCGTCAGCTTGGTCATTGTTCTGTGAATAGGAATACGGGGCATTCCTGTACCAGGTTGTCCTTCCATCTTGCCTCTGGGCAAGACTGAGGTGGTCACATGACTAGAATGCAGCCAGAAGTGTCTCCCAGCCCCAGCAGGGGTGGCTTTGTCTAGGCTCACTGCCCTCTGTTCCCTCACAAAGAGCTTTCCATTCCCAAATAAGGGCCTGACCCCTGTGAGGGCCTGAGCTGAATGTCACAAACCACATTCAATTTGTTGAGCTCCTAAATGAAACCCATTGTTTTTTTTTCAATCCAAACACTCTCCTACAAAGTCATTACCATTGCTTTCAAAACAGTTTGAACTATCAGCAAATGGTAACAGGATGGCAGGCAGCCCCAGGCCCAACTGGACATAAAGTGAGACCCTATCTCAAAAATCACCAATGCAAAAAGACACTGGGAGTTTGGCTCCCATTGGCAGAATGGCTGTCTAGCAAGCTGGGTGTGGTAGCACACACCTGTAATCCCAGCTGATGTAGGAGGATTTGTGAGTTCAAGGCCAGCATGGGCTGTATAATAAGAACTTGTTTCAAAAAACAAAATTAAACAAATGAGTCAAGAAGACATAAGAGAAAATGAGGATACAAGAAAAAGAAGTCTGACAAACAAACCATCAGGTACACAGGAAATGCCAGCTTTGTAGGAAGTCTGACCCCTCCCTGAACCATAGACTGTCACTCAAGTAAAGTAGACTGCAGTCTTTTTCCAATGTCCCTCTGGCGGGTCAGTCTTTCCATCTGGTCCATCTTCTTTATCACTCAGCAGGATGCTGCATCCACGCAGGTGGGCTGATGAGTATATGCATCTGCTAATGTACTTTGTTGTCTGGGTCAGTTCACCTGCTAATTATGAAATCTCACCTTTTCCTGTCCAGATGTGTCCCCCGATACTAAAGCCAGGAGGTGGGAAAGCCATGGTGAAGCTATTCCAATACAGAGATTCTAACTCAGGAGGCTTACATAGGGGCTTAGCTTTAATTTCTGTTTTCATTTAGTTTTTGAGACCTAGTCAGCTTTTGAGTCCTGTGTCAGCTTTCCCAAGTGCTGGGATTACAGGAATGTGCTACCAGGCCTAGCAGCATCTCAGTTTTTATTGTTGTTGTTGTTGGTGGTGGCGGTGGTTGAAGAGCTTAAACTCAGAGCCTGGGTACTGTCATTGTCCCTGAGCTTTTTTGCTCAAGGCTAGCACTCTCTCAACTTCTGGCTTTCTGGTGGTTCATTAGTGGTAAGAGTATCCATGGAGTCTCCTGCTTGGGCTGGCTTTGAACCATGATCCTCAGATCTCAAGTTCCCTACTAGCTAAGACAGGTATGAGCCACCCATGCCCAGCCAGCATCTCAATTTTTTTTTTTTTTTGGTCCGGTTGTGGGGCCTGAACTCTGGGCCTGGGCGCTGTCCTTCAGCTCTTCAGCTCAAGGCTAGAGTTCTACCACTTGAGCCACAGCGCAACTTCTGGCTTTTTTCTTTTTGCTTATGTGGTGCTGGGGAATCGAACCCAGGGCCTCAGGCATGCAAGGCAAGCGCTCTACCACTGAGCCACCTTCCCAGCCGACATCTCAATTTTTTTTTTTTTTGGGTCTGGTCGTGGAGCCTGAACTCTGGGGCCTGGGCACTGTCCCTCAGCTCTTCAGCTCAAGGCTAGCACTCTACCACTTGAGCCACAGTGCCACTTCCGGCTTTTTTCTTTTTGCTTATGTGGTGCTGAGGAATCGAACCCAGGGCCTCAGGCATGCAAGGCAAGCGCTCTACCACTGAGCCGCCTTCCCAGCCCCAACATCTCAATTTTTAATACGTGTTCTTTTATAGGATTTTCATGTATGTAAGCAGACTCCAAAATACATCTGGAGAAGTTATTTTTAAAGGTCTGAGTTTAGTTTAATACTGAATATGTGTCTGGTCCTTGAGTACCATCCTATGGGCACAATTTCTGTCCATTTTTTTGTGACCCACAAATTGAGATTTCTACCTTCTAATCGATTAAGCTAAGCCAACATGGGGTAAGCAATGGCACAATGGGAAGGGGATCTTTCTTTAGTGATTTTTTTTTTTCAGGATTGTGACTTTTAATTGAGTGCCTGCAATCCTAGCTATACAAGATGCTGAGATCTAAGGATCAGCTTCTAAGCCAGTCAGGGCAGAAAAGTCTCTGTGAGACTCTTATCTCCAGTTAAATACCAAAAAAGTCAGAAGTGGAACAGTTGCTCAACTGGTAGAATGCTAGCTTTGAGCACAGTAGTTCAAGAATAGCACCCAGGCCATGAGATTAAGCCCAAGGACAAGCACCAAAAACAAAAACAAAAAAAGACTGACTTTTTTTTTTTGGAGACAGGATCTCTCTAATGTTGAGATCCTCCTGCCTCAGCCCAGGGCTTTGTACATGCTAGACAGACTACCATGAAGATATATCTTTTATAGTTTTTATAATGACCTAACCTGAGCACAAAATTTTCATATAACACAATAATTTTATTTATTTCTTGTTTATATGGTCCCGAGAAATCAAATCCAGGGCCTCATGCATGCTAAGCCACATTCCCAGCCCAACACAATACTATTTTTGTGCCAGTACTAGGGCTTGAACTGAGGGCCTGGACACTGTCCCTTAGCTTATTAACTCAGGGGTGTCACTCTGTACTTGAGCCACTGTTCCACTTTTGGCTTTTTATTGATTAATTGGAGATAATAGTCTCATGGACTTTTCCTGTCCAGACTGATTTTAACTCCTCAGCTCTCAGCTTCCTGAGTAGCTTGGATTACAGGCATGTGCCACTGGCACCTGGCTATTTATTTAATGATACAGGGCTACTTCTGTAAAACACTTTGAGGAATGAAATGTCATCTTGTCAACATATGTGGATATAAATTAGACATTCCCCAAACATGGCTTTCAGTCTGGAAATGATCAATGGCTACTTGGTGATACCAGTGGCTATGTCATGGCTACGTCTATTGCCCGGTAAGTTCCTTTGAAGTTTGATATGCTATCACTACACTCTTATTTTCCTTTGTAGTTGATTATTAATGGAGCATACACATCCACTCATGACTTTTAAGAGGAAAGGGAGTTGTGAGGGGGGAACAGCCCCAGCCATTCCATATGATCCCTTTCTTGACAGGATGAAGAGCAGCAGGAGATGGCCGCCTCTGCTGCCTTCATCGAGCAGCACTATGGGCATCTGGTGGACACCGTGCTGGTGAAAGACGATCTGCAGGGGGCCTGCGCCCAGCTCAGAGTGATCTTAGAGAAAATGAGCAAGGACTCTCACTGGGTCCCCATTAGTTGGGTCAGGTAACTCATTTCCAGAACATACAGGCTGGAGGAGACCTCAAAGGCCATGTTGTCCAGCCTCTTTTCCTTTACCACCAATGACTGAAGTGCGGAGAGGGGCAGACATTTCCACAGACTCCATCCTCAAGAAGAGTTGAAGTGGGGAGCCTTATTTATGTTTTTTTTCCTCTGTGTGTGTGTCTGTATATGCACACGTGAGCGTGTGTACATGTGTGCGTGTGCCAGTACTGGGCCTTGAACTCAGGGTCTCACTCTCTTGCTTAGCATATTTCACTCAAGGCTGGCACTCCACCACTTGAGACACAGTTCCACTTCTGGCTTTTTGCTGGCTAATTGGAGATAAGATTCTTATGGACTTTTCTAGCCCAAGCTGGTTTCAAACCACAACCCTCAGATTTCAGCCTTCTAGGTAGCTAGGGTTATAGGTCTGAGCCAGTGGTGCCCAGCTTGTGTTTTTTTTTTTCTGTTGTCCTCTGCACTCCTTCAGATCATGCTTTGAAAAGGGAAGTTCACACAAGTCATTCATGTCATTCTTTCAGATCTCACAGACACGTTGACCTTGACTCTTTAGACCAAAGTAGACACTGCCTTTTTTTTGCTAGGGTGGTGGTGAATTGACACAATACCGATCTGTAGTGATCTTTAAACTTTATAAAACATTCTCCAGCTTTAGTGGAAGCTGAGTTGTTTCACTCAAAGGAATTTTCCATGTAGTTGAAGTTCTCTTGTCTTCCAGCCCGAAAATGTTCACTTTTTTTTTTTTTTTAAGTTAACATCTTTTTGATAGTGCTTGCCTGGTAATAGAAGAATTGAAATTCCCACCTTTTTAAATAGTGAGCACACATGTGAAGTTTTTCTGGAAGACTGAGGCACACCTAGCCATCCTCATGAATTACTGTACAACTCCATACTGCAATAGAGTCTTTTGGGACCTGTGAGGGAAGTTAAAGCTTCATATTCCTTTTCTGAATGCCCTTATCCTCCTGAAAAAAGAGTCCTCACTTTGTTCCCACCACAGTCCTTTCTAGCCTGTCCATACCTTCAGATTACTGGGGCTTCTCCTGTGCTAGATTGTGAGAAACCAGGTGACTGCTGCTGTTAAAACCGTGTCTTAGCCACAATGAATCCATTCTGTCAAAATAAAAGGATATGAACTCAAGAGTGTGAGCCTGGTGATCTTCTGTCCCAAAGTGATTGACATCACCCAGAAGTTGTGATGCCTCAGCTACTCAAAGAGCAAGTATGTGTGAGGCTTTTAGAGACATGATCTGATCTCTATCTCCCAACTAGCTAGGATTACAGGCATGAGGCACTGTGCTTAGCTAGAGTATTGAATACTTGTTGTTTCCTTTTATTTTATATTTACTTATTTTTGTACCAGTTTTGGAGCTTGGAGCATGAACTCAGGTCCTGGGTGCTGTCCCTTACCTTTTTTTTTTTTTTTTTTTTGGGGGGGGAGCGGTCATGGGGCCTGAACTTTGGGCCTGGGCACTGTCCCTCAGCTCTTCAGCTCAAGGCTAGCGCTCCACCACTTGAGCCACAGCGCCACTTCCGGCTTTTTTCTTTTTGCTTATGTGGTACTGAGGAATCGAACCCAGGGCCTCAGGCATGCAAGGCAAGTGCTCTACCACTGAGCCACCTTCCCAGCCCCTGTCCCTTAGCTTTTACATTCAAGGCTGGCACTCTAGAACTTGAGCCACAGCTCCCCTTCTGAGTTTTGGCTTTTTTTTTCTTTTTGGTAGTAGTTCATTGGAGTTGAGAATCTCAGTATTTTCTGCCCTGGCTGGCTTTGAACTACTATCCTCAGATCTCAGTCTCCTATAGTAGCTAGGATCACAGGTATGAGCCACTGGCACCTGACTCGAGCACTGCTTCCTACCCCCTCCCCCCCAGTCATGGGGCTTGAACTCTGGGCCTGGGCGCTGTCCCTTAGCTCTTTAGTTCAAGGCTACTGCTCTACACTTGAGCCACAGCACCACTTCCAGTTTTCTGATGGTTAAGTAGAGATTAGTGTCTCATGGACTTTCTTGCCCAGGCTGGCTTTGAACCACAGTCCTCAGATCTCAGCCTCCTGACTAGAATTACAGGCATGAGCCACGGACACCCAGTGAGTATTGAATTTTATTTTTTGGTCATGGGGCTTGAACTCTGGGCTTGGGCGCTATCCTTCAGCTCAAGGCGAGCACTCTACCACTTGAGCCACAGCGCCACTTCCAGTTTTCTAGTGGTTGATTGGAGATAAGTGTCTCATGGACTTTCCTGCCCAGGCTGGCTTTGAACCATGATCCTCAGATCTCAGCCTCCTGAGTAGCTAGGATTACAGGCATGAGCCACCAGCGCCCAGTTATAACTCTTTTCTTGTAGCAATGGTTACATTTCCTATGATCTAGTCATTTAGGGTCCTTCTGAGATTCTCTAGGCTGAACACAGATAAACCCTGTGCATGTGTGAGATGGTAACAAGAGTGTCCACATGCCTGCCAGTCTAGCTCCGATGCCCTGCGGTCATAGTGGGGTTTGCGATCACCCAGCCTCTTCAGAATGCCCTGGTTTCCCACTGTGATTCTCACTAGCTCTCTGTTCCTTACTTCTCTACTTAGGCTGAAAAACACAAGAAGCCTGAGATGAATGAAGAGGAAAATACTTTTTTTTTTTTCCCTAGACAGGAATGCACCACCAGTGCCTGGTGATACTGAATTCTCAAGTGGAGTTGATCTTGGAACTATTCTGTAGAAACCCAGACCAGGGAAGGAGACCATCCTGTAAAAAGTGAATGCATAGGCAGAGTTGTTTATTAGGCAGCAAAGATGGCATCTAAAGTCCATTCCCATAGTGAACCACCATGGTGGAAATGGTCCCCAGCTCTCAAATCTCGCTGCAGTGATTGGTCCTCCAGTCTGGACTACAGAATTGAGCAGCAGGTGGTAATTCTGTCATCCTGCTTTTCATACAACTCAGTGTATATTTGCTGCTGCTTACTGTTTTTACACAATTCTCAGATGAACTGGCAATGATTCTTTTTACACATATGATAAAACAAGGTGTTAAAATGTGCTAGCTTAACTGCCATCAAGGTGACCTCCCTGTTCCCAGGACAAGCTGTGTCTACAGCTGTTTTCTGGTGCTCTATCTGTGGGAATAGAAAGGCTAGTGCTCTAGGGATGGAAGTCATCTAGAAGGCACATCTTTTTTTGTTCATAAAAAGCCAGTAGTTTATTTTAATGCACCTGCTCACAAATATATGTTAGTAGAATGTGTATAAATGCAATTCCAAATCCCACTCCAGCTAGCAGTACATATGTTCTGAGCTCCTGGGGAAAGTGTTTGCAAAGCTTCAGCATTCTACACCAAGAAATCCCATTGAAACCCTTCAAGATGTACTTTTTCTCCCTCACACACCCTCCCCCTCCCCCTCCCTCTCTCCCTCCCTCCCTCCCTCCCTCCCTCCTTCCACCCCTTCTTCCCCCCTGTCTTTATTTATTTATTTTTGGGTCCGGTCATGGGGCCTGAACTCTGGGCCTGGGTGCTGTCTCTCAGCTCTTCAGCTCAAGGCTAGCGCTCTACCACTTGAGCCACAGCGCCACTTCTGGGGTTTTTTTTTTCTTTTTGCTTATGTGGTGCTGAGGAATCGAACCCAGGGCCTCAGGCATGCAAGGCAAGCACTCTACCACTGAGCCACCTTCCCAGCCCTCCCCCCTGTCTTTAAATACAGGCAAGTCTCCTACCTGTATCAACAGTCAGAGAGAATGTAAGCCCTAAAATAATTTCCTAGGTCAGGTATGTTAAATGAATGGCAGTGTATTGCCATTCATTGTCCATATCTGGGGCAGATATTACTCATCGATCACAGAACTCTTCTGCCCATGGCTCTTTCAGGACAGTGTTCAGTTGGTTGGATTAGCAGGTATCTCCATCTTATTTAGTGTCCAGGGGCAAGTAATCTTCCCTGAAACACACTCCACTTGCTACAGAAGATGGTCTTACATGACAGGCATCAGTCATTCACAGGGCTCCGATAAGGTAAGCATTAGAGAATGGTGCAAATATTTACACGATCTAAAGTATGTAGATAAATTGTTCATCTGCTTATGCTACCTACCAGTCACAAAATCATACAATGACAGCTTTTGATGACATGTCGAATAATTACTGCAGCTGTATCAAGCGTAGTGTGTGTGTGCGCGCGCGCGCATGCGCGCGCGCCAGTACTGGGCTTTAACTCAGATCCTGAACACTGTCCCTTCATTTTTTCACTTAAGGATGGTGTATTACCCCTGGAGCCACACCTTCACCTCTGAACAGAAGTGTCTTATGGACTGGCTTTGAACTGAGATCATCAGCCTCCTGAGTAGGATTACCTATATGAACCACCAACACCCAGTGTGTTTCTCTGGTTAATCTATTTTATTCCCTCCCCAACATACATACACCCTTTATATTCTCAACGATCACTTCTTTGACAGATTGATAACCAGGTGCTGGTGGCTTACACCTGTAATCCTAGCTATGTAGGAAGCTGAGATGTAAGAATTGCCAGCCTGGGCAGACCAATCTGAGAGATTGTCATCTCCAATTAACTGACCCTATGCTAGAAGTGGAAGTGTGGCTCAAATGGTAAAGCATCAGCCTTGAGCAAAAAAAAAAAAAAAGCAAGAGTGTGAGGTCCTAAGTTCAAACCCCAACACAGGCACGGGCCTGTGAATGTGCACATACACACAGAATGAAAAACCAGTTAGCTGCAAAAGGCAATGAGTGATAGGAGAAGTTTGTTATTTTTGCCTAGTGCTAGAAGCTAAGCTTCTTAAGTAGGGAGAAATTTCTTATGACCACAGATGAGAGGAAGAGCCATGTCTAGAAGTGAAATAAGCTATGTATCAGACCCCTTTGAAGCTAAGGGATGGACCTAAGACCTAAGTTAGACCACTTGCATGTATCTTGCATGATGCCAGTGACACAGTATGGCGGGACAATGGAAGGCTTTTCAAAGGCAGTGGTGGGATATACCCAGTTCCTCTGTGGTGATTCTAGGCTCAGCAGTGAAGGCAGCACCTCCTCAGACCAGGCGTGCCCAGTCAGGCAATATGCAGCTGGAAGTTTGGCCCTGCAGTCTCTAGGAAATACTAATGAATTTATAGTGTTTCAAATTGATTTTGAATTGAATTTAAATTGAGTTTAATTAAATTTATATTTAATTGAATTT